CTATCAGTGGTTGTCTGGGGTAAGGATTGAAGTATTGAAATCAAAAGGGTATGAGAAAATGTTTGGGGTGTTGGAAACCTTCTGTATCTTGACAGTGATGACAGTTACAGGAGTGGATATGCTTTCAAGAATATTCAACCCGTGTACTTAAAATGGATGCATTTAGGAAAGAAAGGGAATCATGTACAGAGGAGAGGGGGAATTAGAGGTTTTATAGGCAGAAGGGGCAGTGAGGTAGCCAGCAGAAAGGAGGAGCTGGAGATTACAGACAGAGGACTGCCTGGGGCCCCAGATGGAAGTGTGAGTATCTGGGCTTGAGGGTTAAAGCCTTGTCCCTTTACCAAAGACTGGAAGGGAAGGGTGGAGCGGGCAAACTGAGAAGGTAAAGGGTTGGCAGTCTCAGTAAGCTCATGCAGTCCCCCTGTGGCACCGAAGGCAGATTCATCTGTGGTAAGAAAGGGCCTTGAGGTGAATGGTTGATTCCTTAACTCAATAAGGTAATCAAGAGCAGAAGCCATTCTGTGGGGAGGCAGGGTTTGAAATAGTAGCTAGGAGGGATGGGAACCAAGGTCAACCAGAAATTAGATAGATAGAGCTAATGGCCTGAGACCCAACTGGCCATATGTGTATGAGGTATCCCCACATATGATTGCAGTATTTTCTTCAACAGTGCTCAGAACCTGGATGGAGGAAAGAGGCTTGCTAGGTAGGGCCTGGGTCGAGGGTTGATTGTATGTCTGCTGGATGATTAGAAGTGATCAAAGATGGATATGCAGGCTAAACAGGAAGGAGAAAGGAAAGTAACAGTTGCTCCATTCAGCAGTGCATTAAACATCTTCTGTGTGCCAGGCACTGTTTTAGATGCTAAGAACAGCAGACAACAGAAGATAAACCAGCTCTCTAGGAGCTTGCGGTGATAGAGTTGGACATTAAACAAGTTGGCAACAAAATGTAAAGATCTTCAGAGGTGCTGAGTGTCATGGAGAAATATTAAGCAGAGAAGAGGGATGGGATATCCCAGGGGAATAAGCAGTGGTCGTGGAAGACCTCTGTGAGATAATGACATTTGGTCAAAGGCCTAGGCAGATAGGAACAGCCAATGCAAAGGCCCTGAAACAGGGGCATGCTGGGCAGAATTCAAGGAATGCAAGGAGGCCCACATGGCCGGAGGCAATAGGAGGATGGTAAAAGGTGAGAGGAGGATTGCATGGGATTTATGGGCGACTTTGTGACTTGACTGAGCGAGATCAGGAGCTAACAAAGGATTTTGAATAACCAGAAGCATAATCTGATTTGTTTTTAAAAGGGTCACTCTTTTCTGTGTCAAGGCACTGACTGAAAATCTTAACAAATATTTAATCCTCATCTAATCCACAGAGATGCCACATGAAGTTGGTGTCATCTGTTTTTTCCCCCTTTACGATGAGGAAATTGAGGTTAAGAGAGATTAAGCTTTGCCAAAGTCACTCAGATGGTCAGTAGCAGAGCTATGATTTAAGCCTACATTTGTCTGATTCCTGAGACCTCATAGATGAGGAGAAAAGGGAGGACTTGGAACACAAGGTGTTCTGTGATGTTAAAGGGACACTGGAAGTAGGAAGCAGGATGACAGTCCTTGTAGAAATAGACTACAGGGTTTGGCAATCAGTGGCATGTGTTGGGGAGAAATAGGTGTCAGCAGTGTATTTGAGTCTTGGCTATCCTCTAAGTGAATGGTTGATCCCTTAACTCAATAAGGTAATCAAGAGCAGTAGCCATTCTGTGGGGAGTGACCTGGATGGTGGAGGTTGAGGTGCTGGTAGGAAATAGTGAAATGTCTAGTTAATTGATCTAGAGGGAAGAACTCATGGTGGGAACCTAGAATCCACCTCTTAAGGTTAAGATTAGAGAAGTAGATATGCTTCCTGAGAGAGAAAAGAGAGGCAGGGGTGAGAACATGGAAATGCCCTTCCAGAATTAAAGCAGGAAATAGGAACAAAACTTCTTATGGAGATAGAAGTGTTTAGGAATTTGGACAAAGGAATGATATAAACATCTATTTTGTCATTTCAGCCTCAAATTAGCAAGGATGGTTAGTTTAGCACAACCCAGTAGCAGCCAGAACGCTGGTTTCTGTGTGTGGAAAGGCTGGGGCATTTCAGGCCCCAGCGGACACTAGGGAAGCAACGTCGGGTCCAGCGGCTGCTCCTTCCAGGGCAGCAGTGAGCGGGCTGCTTTCCTGAGTTGATCCAGAGACCAAACGTTGATTGCAACAGTTTTCCCTGTAACCTCATTTTTAACTTGAATAACACTCATTTTTACACTTGTGAAGGAAACCCCTCCCCCCTTCTTTTTCCTGAAAGTAAAACAACTTGTTGAGGTTGGCGTTTACCCTTATCAGGCTCCATACAGATAGAGTGGCTTATTTTGCAGTGGTGTTTGTGTACAGCCTTACAGTTTGCTCAGTGTGTCTTTTCCCATGGTTGAAATCTTAAAGCAAGAATCTTGCCTGATACCAGTTCTCATTAACAGGTCAAAACCACCATATTTTCCTGTCGATGTTTCATTGTACACTTTCAGATAATGCATTTTGTTTTTATTTTGCTGGCTTCCCAAAGTGTCTTTAACCATTTTTAGATGGAAAAATTCTGAGCATATGTACAGAGAATAGTAAAATGCCTCCCCAAAGTTCTCATGTTCCATCTTTAACAGTTATCACCAGTCTGCCACTTTTTATCTGTCCCCACATACATTTATTTTTTATAATATTTTCAAGCAAATCTTGGATCCAAATGATTCTTTAAGAAGAAAATTATCTATAGAAGATTCTTTCTTTGAAGCCACACCTCAGCTTGCTGGCCCCTGTCAGAGCGGCCTTAGTTGTTGGGTTTTTACTGGGTCCACACATTTACAGAGCTTATTATCTAGGTACCCATTTTCACTGAGCAGATGGGGAATGCTAAGGTGACCCTAAGCTCCTCCTTCTGGACTTTATCTCCTCCTGGACTAGAAACAAGCATGGTTCTGACATCCCAATGTGGGAATCCTTCCTTGTTTCCACTGGTGTCCTGTATCTTACAGTATGGGGCACATCTTAGGGCCTGAGGCCTCAGGATCAAGTGACCCATGGGGAAGCTAGAGAAAACCAGGAAAATCTGCATCTAAAGAAAAGTTGATAAGACTAAGCAAACATTGTACACAAAGATCAACTTATAAGCAAGTATTCCAGTCATGTCACTCTCCGTGTTTTGTTTCTGGTGAATTGCTAGATGTTAACAGTGTCCTTTTTATCTTTGTTTATCTGTGATAGCATTAAATGACTGAAATGAACATAAAAGATGCCTTTTTTAACTGCCAGCTTTCTTTGGAATATGACAGACAGTCTTGCTTTTCCTGGCTTGCAAAACTTCAGGGCCACATTGAAGTACCTGGGTCCTAATTGCACCTTGACTATTTTGTTTCAGTCGGTGAGTGTCGTGCACCTTTATTTCCTGTCTCTTGCATCAGTCTGTTTGTGAGAGTGTACCGAGAGGTGATTAATGGGAAAGATAAACATATGCTTACTGACTGAAAGTTCATCCTGTTTCCTAAAGTGTTTTTGGTTTAGTGAATTGTTTGTTTGCTGCCCACAGACCACATCTGGTGAGTGTACTTCTGTTGTAGTGAGCACCGTATGTCTTTGTGTAGGAGCTGGGCTTTTAAAGCAAAGTCAACATGTGATGAAGCTTGATAAAGCTTCCGTCATCGAGAATCCCAATTGGCAAGGGGGATTAGACAGCTGTCTGAGACCATAAAGCAGAGCCTCCTGGGTCTGGGAGTCTACATACAAAATCCTATTAGAATGTTCTCTGAAGTTGTGTACAGCACAGCTGTAGCCATAGGGTTTTGAATGTTGGCAATAACTCCTCCAGCCTCTTGCCTGAGGATTTCAAATGTGTTCAAGCTCATGCCCTCTCACCTCTACCACCATCCATTCCAGACAGTCAGGAGCCACCTCTTGATGTGTGCCAGGAGAATCTAGGGAGACATTTCCATTTTTAACTGTTGTAAATATGAAATTGATTTAGAGGAAAAACAAAACCCTTTTCCCAACTTAAAAAGTAATGCTTGCTTTTGTAGAAAATTTGAGAAATATAGAAAAGGTTGGTTATACTCCTACAGAGATAACTTTCAATTAGCGTTTTGGTCTTTCCATCTAGTTTTTCTTTGTGCCTTGAAAATTTTCCCCATACTTGCATTAATACTCTACATGCAGTGTCATAACTGAATAAAGATTCGTACATGTTTAAAACTTTTATTAGCCCCTTTAAAACCTTAATTTCCCACTAAGTGGACATTCCATAACTTAAACATATTATTGAATAGTTAGACATTTGTAATACTATTGTGAGCACCTTTGTAAAAAAAAGCATTTTCTATATTTTATATTTTTAAAATTGAATTTTAAGGAAATGAAGCTAAAGGACCAAAAGGAATCAATGCTTGAAAGATCCAGGATTGCCTCAGGCTGCTTCAAAGTGTGTGTACGTCTACCATCAGTCAGCATCAGTTCTTTACCCACAGTTTGGCATTTCATAATGGGAATTTCTAGTGCTATTCCAGGTTTCTTTTCTTTTTAACATATATTTTTTAAATTTGTTCTAATTAGTTATATAATTCCAGGTTTCTGACAAGGTAATGATTTGGATTTTAGAAGTTCTCAATGTGCCAGATAGTGATGTTGTCACTCCTGTCTACTGAGGATAATGACTAGTTCTTTCTTCTATATCTACCCCACGAGTGACACTCAGGTTTCTTATCAGCAGTTCCATTCTGGGCTCAGTTCTCAATCCAGTCTCAGGGACCATCCTAAGAGCTTATGTTGGTGTCTTTGTGTGTAGGATTTCTAAAGTGCCCTCGCAGATGTTATCTCATGTATATCAACCTCTATTATCAGTACAACTTGTCACTTGGTCCTGGGAAATCTCTGGAATTCTTGACATTTTCCAGTCTGATGATGCCTTTGTTGTTCTTTTGCACAGACCCAGTCCTGCAGGTCCCAACGCACGTTGAAGAGTAAGTTTTCTGATTTGCTCTATATTTCCCTTTAATTCATTATCTTATTCATTCAATCAACATTTACCAGGCTAATTGCTGGGAGCACATACAGGCACAAGTTTAAGGTATAAGAAGAATTAATGAGGTATATAGAATGCTACAGATGATATGATGGGGAGAGGGTGCTGTGATCCTTGGGGAGAAGAGGACAATGTGTTAAAAGAGTTTATCTGAGATGAACCTTAAGTTGAGTTTTGAGTTTAAACTTCCAAAGTCTGTATCTCTTGCTGGGTGTGGTGATACACTCCTATAATCCCAGCTACTCAGGAGGCTAAGGCAAGAGGACTGTAAGTTTGAGGCCAGCCTGGATAACTTTGCCAGACCCCATCTCAAAACAAAAAATAAAAAGGGCTGGGGAGTGTAGCTCAGTGATAGAGTACCACTGGGGTCAACCTCAATACTGCAAGAAAAAAGAAATGTTTGGATCTCTCCCTCTTCAAAGTCAGAGGAGAGAACTGACCTTCTAGAGTATATGTATTACAGGGAAATCCAGATATCCCCTGTACAGATGATGGCGTGTCCTAAGTTGCACAGGGACTCAGCCAGGGGTTTCTGGGTGACTCTCATAGTTCAGTCTTTAGCAGATTAACTGTACGGAGGACCACCTCCCATTGGTTTAGTGGGAAGCTGCTGACAGAGACCCCAGTCCTCTCCCGGGCGAGTTCTCTGACGTCAGGTTTTCTGAGTCTGCTTTTATTGCCTCCATTTGAAAAATAAACATTTGTTCAAAACTAAAGTTAGATTTGTTCTACTTGTTTATATACCATGACATACTATTAAATATTAATTGTTGATGTTCTGTGCTCAGTTGAGGAGGCGATTGGAAAGTAGGCATGCTGGGTCCTTTTCACTTACCCTACCCTCATCCAGAGTGCTTTGACCAAATGACAACTTATCTTCTATAGTTTCTAATGATCCTTCCTTTGTAGGTTGTTTTCTCCACTTATACCATAGGGTGTTTTATTTATTTGTGGCTGACATGAGAGAAAATAGGTGGAGTTGTCTTCTACTCACTCACATCACACCCACTCCTGCTGCATGGTGACTTTGCATGGCTTTGGTATTCAATTGTGTCCCCTGGGCTATACTTCATCACTAATACTTTTTATTTCATCTCTAGGCCTGCTTTCCTCCCAGATCCCAATGATGGCAGCCTGTATACACTTGGGGGCAAGAATAATGAAGGCCTAACGGTGAGGATATTTAGCTTCTTTGTGTACCCTGGAGGGTTCTTAACTGTGTCTGCATGCCAAGGCCTGGGAGTTTGAAACAGACTTCTGAGGATTTGATTCAGGCAGTCTGGAGTGGGGCTTCGGCACCAGTGTCTTTTCACAGCTTCCTAAGTGAGTTTTTAATGAGCGTCCAGAGTTCAGAAACAGACCCAGACCAGCAGATGCTGGTGGCCCAGCCAACACACTGGAAGGATAGAGGGGTCTCTGCAGTGACAAGATTGGCTCCAATCAGAGACTTTCAACTTGGGAGGAGGGGGTGTAGTTTGAAACACTGTCTCCACCGCCGTCCCAGCCTTCAGGGGGGCCTGTAGTATTCACCCTGTCTCCATTTGAGAATCTAGATCTGTGTTTGTCACCCTTTGCTTCATATCATAATAACCTGGGGAAACTCTGAAAAATGTCTGAGCCTAGGTCTCAGTCCGGGAAAGTCCCAATTGCATTGATCTGAGACATAAGGATTAAAACAAAACAAAACAAAACTTCCCAGTAATAGAAACAGACCCACATACATGGTTACCTGATTTATACAAAGGTGGTACCACATTATGGTGGGGAAGGATGCTCTTTTCAGTGAATGGTATAAGTCAACTGGGATAGCCATAAAGAAAAAAAAAATAGCTTGACTCCTACCCCACACTGTCCACATGAAAATCAGTTCCAGACAGATTTAAGACCTAAATGCAAAATAAATAAATAATAAAGCTTTAAGGAAAGAGTAGTGAAACGTCATCATGACCTTAGAGTAGACAGAATAGAATATAAAAAAAATTAACCATAAATCTAGGCAAAATTGATTAAATTAAGAACTTTTTACCCTGAAGAAAGGAAACAACAAAGTATTTATGTTCTATTTAACTGTTGAAGGATTCAAATTCAGAATATTTAAGGAGCTCCTGTGGACTGTTAGAAAAAGACAGATGACCCAACAGAAATGGAAAAGAGGACATTTAAATGATGAATAAATATATGAAAAGGTGTTCAATTTTATTAGTCATTAGGGAAATTCAAATTAAAATCACAGGGCTGTGCTGTTACTCAGTATGCATACAGCTGCTCACCAGCATGATTAAATGGGAACATTTAAAAAAAAAAGGGAAACGCGTGGTGGGATGTAGAGCAATCAGAACTGCATCCTGTGCTGGTGGAGATAAAAGGTGGCACAACTGGTTTGGGAAACTGTTTGGCAGCATAGAGTCCATACAACCTGGTAACCATCACCCAATATAAACTCAACAGAAGTACATGAATGTATACCACATCAGACACCACTCAAATGTAGAGCAACAGTATTAATAATAAACAAAAAGTGGAAACTAGCCAAATAACATCAACGGTAGAAAGGGGTAAATAACGGGAAGCTGGGGGTGGTAGCACGTATCTTTAATCCCAGGGATTTAGGAGACTGAGGCGGAAAGATTGTAAGTTTGAGGCCAGCCTCAACAACTTAGCAAGACCCTGTCTCAAAACAAAAAAAGAAAATGGGGTGTGCCACTGGATTTGATCCCCACTACCACAGGGAGAGGATAAAAAAGAGTTGAAGGCAATGTTTGCAGAATTGTTACAACAAGGATCCGAGTTAGTCAAAAGTACAAAATAAATGTTTAATAAATAAGTACAGAGACAGTCATGCAATGAACTCTGTGACAGTGAGAATTAACAGTGTGTGACCTTACACAACATGGATCTATCTCACAAATGCAATGTGGAGCCAAAACATCACCAAAAAAGCTACATTCCAAATGATTCATTTATATAAAGTTCAAAAGCAGGAAAACCTACTCTGTGCTGTTTTGAAGTGAGGATAATAGTTGCCCCAAGAGTTAATGGCTAAAAAAGGGGCACAAGAGGGATCTTCAGGAGTGCTAGAAATGTTTTCTTCATCAGGTGCTAATGCCATGAGAATATTCACTGAGGTGTGATTAATAATTACTGAGGTGTGTGATTGTGTTTTTCTGTTTGTGTATCATGTGATTCATAGAAAGTTTGAGAGATTCTAAGTTTATGAGATTCTAATACGTAGCCAATGATGAGAACCATTGGTCTAAACTGTAAGTGGATTATGGGTACTAATTTGGGTATTTTAAAATTAGTTTTTGAGCCAGGCATTGTGGTGCACACCTGTAATTCCAGTGACTAAGAGGTTGAGGGAGGGATATTGCAAATTTGAAGGCACCCTCGCAACTTAGTGAGACCTATCTCAAAATGTAAAAAATAAAATAAAATAAAAATATCTTGGCACATCCTCAGCCCTATTTTGTATTTTATTTAGAGACAGGGTCTCACTGAGTTGCTTAGTGCCTCACTGTTGCTGAGGTTGATCCTCCTGTCTCAGCCTCCTGAGCCACTGGGATTACAGGTGTGTGCCGCCAAGCCCCACAACCTGGCAGCATTTCTTAAGCACCTTGTTTGTCAGAAAATGTTGAGCCTCTCAGCAGCCCGTAGATGTTTTCCCCATTTTGGAAACTGAGCCCAGAGAAGTTAGGGAATAAGTCTGAAGCTTTTAGGACTGGAGTTGGGATGTAAAGAAGTCTAATTGAAGAGGATGCTCTTAACACCACCGTGCCTTCCTGTGTATTGTGGCTTAGTAATTCCAGAGATCATAGGTTTCCCAGCCTGGGCCTCAAAGCAGGAGGGCTGTGGCAGTGCTCAGTTCAGGGCCCAGGACTCCAAACCAGAGGACTGGCAATCACTTTCTGATTATCAGAAACATCTGGCAAAAACCCAGGCATTACTGCCTCCGATTGGCATTTTGCCTTTTCTAAGGCTTAGTTTGAATGTTGAAATGGCAGGAAAATCCAAATTATTGATTCAGTTTACAGTTCTGTTTATCAATGCTACGGAGAAATCTTCTCTTGGAGAAAAAGTGGCAGCATTGTAGCCTGGAGTTTCTGTAACAGCAGTATCTGTAGAATAGTTTCAGAAACACAAGAGTATTCCAAAAATAAAGTGTACTGAAACGAGCATAGACCAAAAGGACTTGTCAGATGTCAGCTGTAGATGCAGAAGAGTCAGTTTTATGATGAAACATGTTGAAACATTTGGATTTCTTTTGGTTTCTTTTCCTGGCACCTACCATAACTTCCTTTTTCAACCAGAAAGCTCAATTTTTTTGTTTTTCAGTAGAGAATGATTTACTGAAGGAAATACCAAACTTCTTTTTCTGCCTCCAGCTCTTGTGTTGCCCATGTAATGGTGCCTTTATTCCCTCCAAGCTTGAAGCTTGGTTGCAAGGTTGTTTCTCTTTAGCATTAAAATCATGACCTCCTCCCACCTCTAAAAGGCATCATCATCCTTCTACCTAGTCTAGCCAACTCTGGGTCACTTTTCCAAGATGGGAGAATCCTTTCCACTACCCTTAGAGCTACCAAGATAGTGTAATTCTCCATATTTGTGTTCTTTTCTCAGAAAAGGCTTATGTCACTCCTGGTAAGTGCCCTGGACAGAAAGCCTGGCCTCCTGTGTCAAGTAAAGGAATTAGTATTTACAGAGTTCAGAGGTCAAGGCCTTTCAGTAGTGGATGGAAACACGGGGTACCCCCCTCTTCTTGGGTTCCTATTAGGAAAACTCCCATCTGCTAAGTGTTCTTTTCTTTAGCAGAACTGGGTAACAGAAACAGACTGCCCAGTAAATTTGTAATAATTGCATAAGACTTGGTTAACTTATTTTTTCCTTTTTAAGTTTTCTTTACTTTTTTTTTTTTTTTTTTAAAAGAAACTTCCCTTTACCATCCCAGAGTTGGTACAGGCATCCCCATGCCGAAGTTCAGATGGAATCCTCTACATGGGTAAGAGTTCCTGTTCTCAACACTGAAACTTGGATCACTTTTGACAGAGAGTCCTGGAATCTGGGCAAATGGCAGTTGAGAGAGAGGGCTGCTGTCGTCACCCCCTTGCCAATCCTTCTGGGAAAGGTCTTTCTTGCCTTGGTCATACTGCAAGTGCTGTTCATGCCAGGATCGGCTGACCAGTTAAGAAAGGGTTCTTTTCACCCAGGAGAAAAATTGACACCGTAAATATGGTTACTCATTTAACAAGCTTTTAGTTGCTGGTCTGGCCTACTCCTGTGATTTCAAAATTACAACATCCCAGCTGCAACTGTGTGAAATTTAAAGTGAATACAATTGTCTGAGTCAACGAAGGAAAGCTAGGCCCTGCCTATTAATTATAGGGCTTTCTTCGTATTTCCTGCTATCAGAATATTTGGTAGAAACAGCACTTAACAGCTTGCCTAGATAAGCTGCCTTTATACCTCTGGGGTCACAGCTTTTAAAGCATCAGCTCACCTGCTTTTCTGTACCATTTTGCTGCCAAAATGTCAATAAAAATGCATTTGTAACACAAAGGAGAGCTGTATTTATCTTGAAATCATAGTAGTAATAATAGCCTGTGTTTATATAGCAGCTTTCTTTTTGAGGAACTGAAAGTGCTTATTGCCTGTTCCTGCCTCGGGAGCTTTATATGTTTTTCTGGGTCTCAAATGCAGGCCAGCTTTTAAGTTTTTGCTGGGCACACTGGGGCTCTTGCTTCCTTCCTTCAAAATAAGGAATCCCCAGCGTATGGATTCAGAAGAAATGACCAACAGGCTTTTTTCTCTGGGCCATGCCAGGCCCATCCAACTATCTTCTGACCATCTGTGTCACCGTTTCCCATCTGGTCTTCCAGCCTTTCCCAGCAATGTGTCATTTGTGGTCTACTTAGGACATTGTGTTTCCATTATCTTTGTGTGATGCCATATTAAATGAGTTTATTAAGTATATTTAAGAACATGGTAGTTCCCCAGTCTGTCCATTAAGGTAGTAGCTGGGTTATGCAAACTGCAGTTGTCCTTGATATATGCCATGCCAGATAGAAAGGATTCATGGTCACAGCTGATTGGTGACATTCTCATTCTACCTTCAGTCTTTTTCATATTAACATCTTACTGAGAATAGAGAGTTCACAATGTGTGGACAAGTTGCATACATGTGGGATCAGCATGTATGCCACATGTTAGAACTGAGTGTAGCTCTAGCAAATTCAATGCCCTGTAACCTTCCTAGGATCTCATTGTTCTGCTTCCAAAAGCACTTGGACGTAGAATACTTTTAAGGTCATAGCTTCTGGGAATATGTTGACCTTCAAACCAGAGACTCATGCACTTCCTCACCATTCCTAGGATGCCCTGGTTGAATAGCACAGATACGAATGCCTTGGGTTTCCCTCATACTGGTGTTTGGCTGTGCTGTTCACCTGTTCATATCGTTTAATCAGCTGACCAAGGCGAGGGGTATGACCTGTGGCCTGGGAATAACTTACTGACCCTGGGGGAGGCTGAGGTAACTTTGCCCTTTAGCATCAGGTTACAGCTAGCACTACTGACCAGTCACAGGTACTAGCTAATTATAGTTAGAAACAGTAACTATAGATCCTCTTCACATGTGGCTTAATTAGTAGGGATGTTAAGAAATATGAATTATGGTTATCAAGGAGATGAACACCTGAGTACATTTCTTTAGTATTTGGCTCCTTGTCTGCGGGAAAAGGATTGCTCTTTACAGGCCAGAGTTTTCATTAAAGGCTATTAATCAAGCAATAAAATCTAACTTGAAAGTTAGGAGAACTTTTTTTACTATAACTTAGTTATGGGGGTTTGGAGAAATTTTTATGCCGATGATCAGACTGTTAAGTGATTGTAAGACCCAGTGGCCTAAGAAGTTATCTCCACATTACCATTTACTCTATCACCTTCAAAATAGCATAGAAATGTCTTCAACATTATAAGAATTTCAGTCCTGTTTCTCAGGATAAAGTAGAATATCTAGAACAACTACTTAAGCAGTGATTTTCTTTTCTGTATAGAATAAGTGTAAATGACAGAGTATCCTGTGACCTTTAGGTAAAAAGCAGGACATTTGGTATGTCATCGACCTCTTGACTGGTGAGAAGCAGCAGACTTTGTCATCAGCCTTTGCAGATAGTCTCTGCCCATCAACCTCTCTTCTGTATCTTGGACGGACAGGTAAGAAATGAACCACCATTTTGTACAATCGACCTGTTTCTAGAAAGAATCTGATAAAGCTCCCCTACCTGCCTCTGCTCTGACCTGGTTCTCCAGAAGGTGGCCAGGGCTGCCTTCTTCGAACAACCTTAGCATCTCTTTCTAAGACCCTGCAGTGGCCTCCATTGCCTAAAGGATGCAGTCTAAGCTGCACCATGACCCACATAGCCCCTCTGTTCAGCTGTCACTTCTCAGCCCTCACTGCTGCATTTCCCTCATTAGAACATTTTCCAATTGGGGTGAACTACCTGCAGTTCTCAGAATAGCAGTGCTATTCTTTACGACTCAGAATGGGGTATCCCTTCTGCCAGGCATGCCTGGTGTTGCCTATATGGTAGATGTCCTTTCTTCCTCCACAGCTGCTCAAGAGTCCCCTTCTCTGTGAAGTCTTTTCCCCTGCCTCAAAGCTCCCACCCTGCCCAGGGACACTCCACTCAGCTCTCTCATTCTGGGGACACATGTAGCAATTGACAGGCCTGTCATAGCAGCCATCACACCCCTGTCATTGTCCCTTTACATTCATGAATAGCACCCACTTTACCACACCATTTTCTGTTTTCTCTTTTTTCAGTCACCTTCTTAATGCTTGTTATTATATATATATATATATATATTTTTTTTAAAATATTTATTTATTTAAGTTCTCGGCAGACACAACATCTTTGTATGTGGTGCTGAGGATCGAACCCGGGCCGCACGCATGCCAGGCGAGCGTGCTACCGCTTGAGCCACATCCCCAGCCCGTTATTATATATTTATAAGTTTTATGTGCTTGTCTTTTGCCCCTCTCACTAGAATATCAGTTCTCCTAGGGTAAGACTTTATTTTGGCTCTATCTCCACACTAGACATACTCCCTGATGCACAGTAGGTGCTCAGATATTTAAACAAGTGAAGGGTGAGCAACGTCTTACTCATTTTCATATGTACAATACCTCACATGCATCAGGATCACCATGAAAATTATTGAACAAAAGTTAAAACTAAAAGAAGACTCAAGAAAACATCTAGAAGCAAAAAATATTATACCAAAAACCTACAATCTTATAAGATGTACAATTATTATATGTCAATAATATTTTTTTAAAAAATAGGTAAAGCAGGTCATTAAATGAAAATATTTAAAAACCTGGAATGAATTCATGTTCAGTTGAGCTCTAAACTTAGGTCTAAACATTCAGGCAACCTAAGCTTTGAAGAGAGAGACAGAACCTTCCTCAGATGCTTCAGAAAACAGTGTATTTCTACAAATCAATGAAACCGATCTTGGTCCCTGTAGCAGCTGGCTGGCCTTACCTGTCTTAGGAGGGAGGTCATAGGCTGCTGCCTTGTAACCCTCCCCCTGTAAAAATCAGGTGTTCTAATTTTCTACTGTTGTGACTGCTTGGGATTTGTTGGCTTACCTTTTCCATCAGGTAAAACCTTACAGTGGTCTCAGCTTTACCCAGGTATAAAAATCATGGAGTTCCAGGTAGAACTGGGACATTTAAGGGAGTTGGGCTATGCTCTGGCATTAGGTACACATGCATTACTGTGTAAAGCTATTGTTTCCATTTTATTCCTGACTTTCTGGGTAGAGGATTCAGGAAGGGATGGGTGAAGACAGTCATCTCTATTCTACATCTGGCTCACTTGTGTCTGGGACCTTGGTCCACCTCCATGTGACTTTTCTCCACAAAATAGCCTGGACTTCTTAACATGACAGCTTGATTCCCACTTGATAAACATGGATGTTGGAATGCCTTATAAGGTCTGAGCTCAGAAGTCCTAGAACCTTACTTCCACTGCATTCTGTTGGTGAAAGGAAGTCACAAAGCCAGTCCAGAGCCAAAGGTGGAGAAATAGAAAGAGTGACTTGCATACTCTTGGGAAGAATTGTTGGTGGTGATCTTCAGATATTGCCCTGTAGTCCTCCCTCAGGCTACAGTAGTTTACAGCCCTTCTGCTTACAGAATCTACTCACCCTTCCCAAGATCCCCAAAGTCTAGTCACAGCATTATTCTGAAGATTCAACATCATGGGGTCTGTGTCAAAGTAGGAGCCTCCTCTCATTAGGTGAAGGAAAGAGAAAAGTTCTCTTACTCTCCCACCTGCCCCTTCCCCCAACCCAACATACAATGGTGAGATAGGATAGCTGTTGTAATAATTCCCCTTCAAAAATGGAAGGAAACCTAGGCACATAGCAGATACTGGTCCTTAGTAATTCTGAAATCCAGCCAGGTATATGTTTTCAAGTTCCCCTACTCTGGGGGACAGGGAATTTTCCTTGATTAGGGCCTAGTTCTGCCCTCCAGGATTGGTTTTAATAATATATTGTTCTCAGTTGCTCTTGGTTCTGTCTTTCAAGAAATCCTTCTTTTCCATAAAAATGGCTATTTTTAAACTTTCTCAATCTGTTCTTTGTTCATTGAAAGTAGGGAGTCCAGAGGCTTTCTTTCATTTTAACTATCTCTGATCATTATAGTCCATGGTGATATTACTCCTTTAAAAACTTTGTGGGTTTCTCATGTGTCAAGTTATAGTCTATACCATTGGATAACAGTTGTGCCTTTGAATCCCTACTTTGGAATGTGAGAGTGCTACGGCACCACAACACTCTTAGGGTTCTTATACCCCTTCTTACCTTACAGAGGGTCTGAGAGATACTACTTTAAATCTTCCTGAAGTTTCAAGGAAGGGTCTCAGTAGACTCACTCTGAGTTAGATTTTGACCCTGACCTGAGGCCCTATTTTTTATAGCTAGTGAGTGCTTTGGATTTAATCTTTGCCTTGAGGTCATTTTTTTTCTTTTCTTTTGTTTTTATTTTTTATGAGAACCCAGTTCCTCACATATGCTGGGCAAGCGCTCTAACACTGAACCACAACCCCGGGCCATTGAGGTTATTTTTTTACATTGGGCATCTTTTCTAGCTGGAGAGCCAGTCCTGGACCCTCTCTTTTCTCTATGTTCTCGCTTAAAAGCTGAATGATTTCTTTAGCTCATTGTCTTGCAGTATAGCATACATGGCTAAGAAAAATATTTCAGCATTTTCTGCCTTTTACCTAGAAATCTCAGATCCCTGAGTGCATTCCAAGTTACTATAAACAGTAGTCTCACTAATTGTGTCACATTGATGGAAACTCATAAGCTGGGTCCTCCCTTTTCAGGTTCCAGAAATGGTTTCTTCACTTTTTCAAGTCTCCACTAACAGTCCTCTTATTAGCCTCCAGCCTTCACCTTTCCCAAGTCAAAGTTACATGTTTTAGGGTTTTTTGGTGGCATCATTCCCCTTCTAGGTAATGATTTCTAATGTCATATAAATATTGCTACATAATAAATCACCCCAAAAACTGGGTGGATAAACACAACTGTTACCTTTCTTATGATTCTGTGAGCTGGTAGTTACAGGGCACAGCAAGGGTGACTTGTCTCTGCTACACATGCTGCTGGTTCACTCGTGTGTCTGGGACTATAGTTCTCCCGCACATTGCTTTTCTTGTTCCACATGGATAACCTGGTCTTTTTAACATGTAATTTAGGGAGGATTTGTTTGTTGTAACTAGATAAGGTCAACACTTTAAGTAGGTGCTAGATCCCTTTGTGATGGTGGACTGGTCTGTGTTCTTTAGAATATACCATCACCATGTATGATACCAAAACCCGCGAGCTCCGCTGGAATGCCACCTACTTTGACTATGCAGCCTCACTGCCCGAGGACGACATGGACTACAGTAAGTGCTCCTCGTGGGCTGCATGAGGTTGGCAGGCACATTCCATCTATGGGAAATGACCTCTCCAGAAAGAGGATTTCCTTTAAGATACCCTTTATCACTGGGTTTTGGGCTTGCTATTGGCGTGTAGTAAAAATGTCCCAGTCAATATGGCAGGGCCTGGGTGAGAAGTCTGAGGGGAACCAAAGTAGAATGGTAGTGAGTTTAGATGAAGAGGAAGGAGGGCATGCCTTGTTGAGTCCCTGTGTGTCACAGAAGAAATTTACAAGCCCATGGACACTATAATTAAAAATCAGCACATAAGCCAGGCACAGTGACACATGCCTGTAATCCCAGCTATTCTTAACGTTGAGGCAGGAGGATGGCAAGTTTGAGGCCAGCCTCAGCAATTTAGTGAGACCCTGTCTCAAAATAAAAAATAAAAGGGCTGGATTGTAGCTCAGTGGTAAAGCACCCCCCAGGTTCAGTATCCAGTACAGGGGACTGGGGGCTCAGCATGTATCATTAACAGCCTCATCAAGAAGGCTACTCTAACTGTGGCTCATCCCCCAGTTATTTCTCTAAATGTACACTCCTCCAACTCAAACGATAACTGAAAACCAATTTGATCATCTTAACCTTAGTATCCGAAAATATGACTCTGCCTAGAATATTTTCATCTCTCTCTCTGAATGCTCCTTTGTGAGTGAGATGCTCATAAGTCTGATTTGCAGCTTGATCTATGGATTTCAAACAATGCTATAAAATTTCAGATTAATAGGCAGCTCTATTGTCTCCTCTCTCCTTAGTATTTACTCACTTATTAAATAGAATGGCAGAGAACATGACTGAAGAAATTGTCTTTGGGGGAATGGTCCTATCTTAGGTTTATACTGCAGGCAGCCCTCAGTGTCTTGATATCAGGGAACCTGAACAAGTTCATGGAAACCATAAATTGTTCTGAGAATATTTCAGAAGTCTTGTTTTCTCTGAGTGACCGCAGTTTGCCAAGAGAGTAGAGGATGTGGTTGTGGGATAGAGTGAGACTGAGTGTACTTTTGTTGTTTGATCTTTACAGAGATGTCCCACTTTGTGTCCAATGGTGATGGACTGGTGGTGACTGTGGACAGCGAATCTGGGGACGTCCTGTGGATTCAAAACTATGCCTCTCCAGTGGTGGCCTTCTACGTCTGGCAGCGGGAGGGTCTGAGGAAGGTGATGCACATCAATGTCGCTGTGGAGACCCTACGCTACCTGACCTTCATGTCTGGGGAGGTGGGTCGCATCACCAAGTGGAAGTACCCGTTCCCCAAAGAGACGGAGGCCAAGAGCAAACTGACGTGAGTCAGGGAACTCAGGGCGGAGGGTGGCAGCTGTGATACTGGCATTTAGTGTACCCTACATTGGAGGAGGCTAGGGGGCAAGACAGATGTCTCCAAGGCCCTGAGGAACATCATGAGCCAAGACTGTCTCAATCAGAAACTCCAGAATATAAATACCAGGGGTTACCCCTGGATGCATCAGAGCTCTTGAATGTTAAGTCAAAATTTGGGGTGAGAAATGGAAGGAAACTGCTGAAATAACTACAGTGCAATTTGGCAATGTCTCTTGTGGAAATAGAAGAAATCTAAATTATTTATTTATTTGTTTTTGGTACCAGGGTTTGAATCCCAGAGATGCTTGACCACTGAGCCACATCCCCAGCCCTTTTTATTTTTTATTTTGAGTAAAAATAAAAGTTGCTAAGGCTGGCATAAATCCTCCTACCTAAGCCTCCTGAGTCACTAGTATTATAGACATGCACCACTGTGCATGGCTAGAAATTTATTTTTTTTATCTTCATGTATTTTCTAAATTTTTATTGTAAGCTATGTTCATTTTAAAAAGCAGAAGAAAAAAAAAGACTCAGTAGGTTGTGTTTTCCATCCCAACCTGCTAATAACCTGTCACTAAGTCACTTAATTATGGCTAGCCTCAGTTTCCCACTTCACAGAGTTGTGGGAAATATCAAAGAAGATAATGTACATGAAAGTGTTGTCAAAATTGTAAGATACTGCTCCTATGGAAGGTGTTTGTTGAAAGAGGCTTGGTGATTTAGTAGATAACTGGCCCCACAAAGGCTGTAGACAGTAGTAGCCAGAGCATCTAGAGGTGCAGCTCCCACTTTTGTACATTGATACCACCATCAGCCATGGCCCCATCCCCTCCACACTGCCCCAGACAAGGACAGACTGCCTAGCTAGGGGACTGGAAGTTCTTACAAATCCCTCTGCTCTGGGCATCTGGAGGAGAGCATTTGACTGTTCCTCCAGGCCTCTGCTGAGCCTCTAGAATCCTTAAAAAGCCCCGAGACAGCATGGTGGTAACACTGGGGGTAGTGGTATGGAAATGCGCTGATCAGGATCATTCAAGAGTCTTATGCAGTGGGTGCTAAGCTGACTGGTCATCAGATACGGTCCTTTACACTGAGCAATGTGTAGCCCAGCCGTGGCATTTTGCAGATGAGGAAACTGAGGCTCGCCCTTTGGCAGCTTGTCTGTATTTTGGAAGGCAGCACGTGAAGCTGGAACCTGAAGTCCTGCTGTCCGATTCCTTGACGGCACCCCTGCCTCACACCCAACTCTCTCCTCCATGCCCAGGACTAATGAGGCTGTTCCTGTGGGCAGTATTCAGGGTTGACTCTGCTTTCCCAAAAACCCTCTTTTGTGGGATCTGTACATGAAATGACTGGAACACATGTGTCTTTTCTCCCAGGCCCACCCTGTATGTTGGGAAGTACTCCACCAGCCTCTATGCCTCTCCCTCCATGGTGCATGAGGGGGTCGCTGTTGTGGTGAGTCTTCTGTGGGGCTCGCAGATGCAGCCTTTTGTTCCTTTTCCACAAAGAACAACTTTGAATTACATAGGACATCCTGCTAGTTATGAACATGAGACACAGAGCTGAAAGTTTCAAGAGCAGCTTCTGCACATCCCATATTCTATTTTGAAAGCAAGATATGCAACAGAAGCAGCCTTCTAAAGCCGGAAGCATGGTTATTCCATGTTGCTCTTGTGTTCAAATCTAAGCTCCCGGTCCAGGCCCTCTTCAAGCCAGGACCACCAAGTACTTGCAGCACCCTGTTAGTGTAGCCAAATGCAGCTTCTCTCCGGTGCCCAGAGTTCCCTGTTCATCTTTCATCTGAGCATTTATTGGGACTGACATCACACTTCAAATGCCCTTCCTTCTTCCTTTTCCCTAATTCAAATCCCTTACATTCTTTGTGACCTCCCCAAGCCTCTGTGGACCTCACTAGCCTGCTGTGAGCAGTCTTATCTTTGAATGTCTGAGGATTATGATCCCAGTGGCTCACCCTGACCCTTCCAGTATCTGGGCTCTTTGGTTGTATACCTTGTCTTCCCAGCGATGTGGTCACTGCTTGTGTTAGCAGGACAGTGCTGGAGCCACCTGGGCACCTAGATGGAATTGATTCCATGAGTTGCATCTGTTGTGACTAGTAGACAGCCACTCATTCTCCTTCACTTAGATCTTCTCATCATTGCTTCTTGAGCCCTGTAACACACTGGCTGGTCCTCAGAACCCAGGTTAAGAACTGAAAGGGTGTCAGTCCTGTCCTGAGAAAGCAGCTTCCCTTGCCTGGTCCTAAGGCCCCTGTGTCTTGCTCTGAGTGTCCTACACTAGAGCCCCACACTAGACAAGGCTCATCTGGAGGCATGGCAGATCTATCAAGGCTCAGGATAATGGTCGGGGAGGTATGCTGCGGGACCTGGGGAACCTGCTCTCCTTCAAGGGCTCCTGGGCTCACCATGCTGTGTCTCCACAGCCCCGTGGCAGCACTCTTCCTTTGCTGGAAGGCCCCCAGACTGATGGTGTCACCATTGGGGACAAAGGGGAATGTGTGATCACACCCAGCACAGACCTCAAGTTTGACCCCGGACTCAAAGGGAAGAACAAGCTCAACTACTTGAGGAATTACTGGCTCCTGATAGGTAAGCGCTGGTCTCCAGAGGCAGCCTTAGCTGATGGCACACTGCCTCCTGGTGGGCAAAAGCTGGCCTTGCTGGTTTCTAATGCTCCTGGCTGAAGGCACTGTGCTCTGTCACTTCAAGGTGGTCTTTAGACCTTGGAACATATTTTACTCTCAGGGAGATTAAACAGGATAGCCAGGTTATCAAAGAGGTGAGAGCTCTCAGAAATTGTTTATATAGTGTTCCAAAATTCAGGTTCATAGTAACATAAACTTTGTGTAATTACCTGACATAAAAATGTCTATTTCTGGGGCTGGGGATATAGCTCAGTTGGTAGAGGGCTTGCCTTGCATGTACAAAGCCCTGGGTTCAGTCCCCAACACCAAAAAAAAAAAAAAAAAAAAAGTCTAATTTCTCACAGTGACCTTGTATAAGGAATCCTCTTATTTCTGTTTTATAACTAAGAAAACTGAGACTATTTCTATGGGAAGTTGGCTTGGAGTTCATGTGAGTGTGGGAGCCAGGTGAGAAGAGGTTAAGACCAGGAGAATTGAAAGCCATGCAAGGTCAAAGGCTGCCCCAAGCCCCACTCTTTTCCTTTATTTTTCCGTTGTTGCCAGTCATCACTAATGGTCCTGAGGTTGAACTGGAGGCCCTGCCAGAGGTTATAGGGTTAGAGGTGGAGTTGACAGGTGAGAGGCTTTGTGTTCCCAGAAAATATCCTAAGTAATTAGAGCAAGATGGAGTTTTCTTGAATCCCGTCTGCTCTTCTTATTTTTCCTTCTCTCTCTCTCCCTCTCCCTGTTCTCACACACACATACACACACACAAAGACACACTCCAAATGGCGCTGTCTCCCAGGCGAAGGTAGGGATGAATCCCAGTGGGGCAGGCCAGAAGGCTGGTAGGGATGCCAGAATGCCATGCAAGTTAACAAGGCTTCTTCTCCCTATCCTCTTCCTCTTGGCACCTGCAGAAAGAGGTGAGAGCTAGAGCTCTGGCACAGGGATGAGGACAGCTGGGAGACCCGATACCTAGGAAGCATCATGACCTACCAGGCAGTGGGTCTAGACGGAGCTGTGTGCCTAGGAGCTGTGGTGGGGAACCTGGTGTGCCTGAGCCCTGAGGTGCCCTTTACAGGTTTCCCAGCTCTGTTTTGTCTTCCTCCTGATTCCTTGTATCCGTTTTTTTTTTTTTTCCTTATTGTTTTTAACAAATAATAGGCAAAGGAGACAACTAAAGATTTCTACTCTTTTCTTACAGAGGTAATTTGGGATGTATGCCTAAGTGGACCCATGGTAGGAAAAAAAATAGCTAATTGAGCAGAGGCCATTAAACTTACAAGGCTTTTCAGTTTTCTGTACCAGTTAAGGGGTACGTGAACTGCCTGCCAGTGATGAAGAAGTGACACTGAGGAGAATACAAAAAAACATGAGGGAAGGTCTTTATGGCTAAGTTGTAAAATTAGATCCCTTTAAAATGGTTTGTCCAAGAATGAAAAGTAGGACTTAACAAATTATAAAGAAGTAGTTAAATAAGGATCTCACAATTCTGAGGTACCCTCTGAGGAACTCCACAGGTAGTCATTTTTAAATAAGGCAGAGAGAGTACAGACAATCTTCTTTCAGAGTAGGGCCATGTGGTTGTACCCCTTTACATCTCCTTCAGTTTGGTTTTTGTGAAAGAAATTAAAGACACCCTAAGTTCACGCTCATTTTAAAAACAGAATAGCCTCATGAGCTTGAGAGGCATAGTCTATGGTTGCCCTAAACAGTGGTCCTGACCTGTGGTGCTCCCAGCATCACCCAAAGCTTTGTCAATGAGGCATGGACCAGCCCTAGAGGGCCTGGTGCCGGAGGTCCAGGGCAGGGACTGGCCATGTGCTTGTTGGAGTCTGGACCTAATTGATGCTGATAGATAAATAAATCACAAAGGCCAGGTACTATTAAGAACTGTAGGAGAGGTGGGGAGTTTGGGCTTAGGACTTCCATAGCACCCTCTTGGTAGGCGTCCTGTAGACAGGTGGGAGCACTAAGTGTGAGCGTTGGGGAAAGGGGCGGATAGGATGCTGCAGCAGAGTGGTGTGTGGCACCTCATTTCTCTTAGCTGTAGTTCTCTTGTCAGTGGCCTCAGTTACCTGCAGTTATTCACATTCAGATTCCTGAGCATACCAGGGGTCTGAAGTGGGTAGTCACAAGGTGGGAGACCCTGCCCCTGAGCACCGGCGTGTCTCAGGGATCCTTGGTAATTGTTCAAAAGTGGGTTTCCTTTCAAGATGATGTTAGACTGTAGGTGGAGAACTGACCTAAAGAGATGGAGGCTGGATGAAGGACTGCAGGGGGATTTTCCAGGTCAAGAAACACCCAGCCTAGACTAGATCCTGCTAGTTTTCTTCTCCCATTTGTGTCACAGCTTCTGATGGGTTTGGGAGAATAATGGAGAGGTTGTAAGGTGAGAGAAACCTGAATCAGTGAGGTGTGATCCAAGTGAGAAAACAGAATAGAGCCTGACAGCCGGCAGCCGTGATGAGGAGGCAGCCTGGCCATTTTAGGCCACACTGGAGACATTTAATTTGAGATAAGTAGATTATCAAACCACTTGATATCCCAGGTCCCTATTTTAGTCACCTCTCTTTTCTTATGGTAATTTGAATCCAGCAGATGCTCAATAAATGTGTATTGAATGATAGATAGTCATGAACTAGTTGTGAGGAGAATGGTACGTGGGCATTCAGAGAGCTGCGACACCCCACATCCATCTGGCAGATGTGCTCTCTTGCTGTCTTATGAGTGACAGAAGCTGGGGCTGGGGCTGGCAGTGCACTGAGAAGCTGTGCTGCTCAGAAGAGAGCTGGGTAGTGATGGTGCTGGGTAGAGCGTGGAAGAAGAGCTCCTTGGACTACACTAACACTTCACCTGTGACCTGGGCACGGAACCCACACAGGCCTCACTTTGGGACACTTCACAAACATCTCAGACCCTCTCATCTTTATTCTCACTGTGAGACCCACAGTACTATATTCTACCAAGTAATGACATTTCTGTTTTGACGAAATTTTTTTGGTTGCTGCCTCTCATTTTCTCTCACTTTGTAGATGTGAGGGTTTGCCTTGTGGAACACCTCAGCAGGTGGTGACTGTTGCCTGAGTTTAGTGTTGAATGCCACCACTGCTTGGGAAACTGTTCTCAATCAAGGTTTGTTTCCTCTCGCAGGACACCATGAAACCCCGCTGTCTGCATCTACCAAGATGCTGGAGAGGTTTCCCAACAATCTACCCAAACATCGGGAAAATGTGATTCCTGCTGATTCTGAGAAAAAGAGTTTTGAGGACGTAAGTGAGGAGTGGCCAGCTGCTGGCTCTCCTGCCAGGCGTTGGGGGATAAGGCAGTAGACTTTGCCCTGCCTCAGAGCTCACAGTCTATCTGGAGGGGAGAGGACCGCACCAGAATCCATAGCAAAGGAGATAAACTGTTCAAGGCTGTAGGGGAGGAGTAGGAAGTAATTCATGAAGGAAAGTACAAGAAAGGCCCAGGAGGGAGCAGGCCTGGAAGAATGGGGTGGGCTTGGCGTGATGGGTGGGAGCAGGAAGGTCCTGGAAGGAAGGGAAGAGCAGAGGTGAGAGCCTGGGTAGGAATGAGGCTGGGATGCCCAGAGTTGGGCCGTGGGGAGACAGGCCCCACTGGATCCAAGGCTGCCAGGGAAAGAGCTGAAGGAAATGAGCCAGGGGCAAAAGGGAACCACTTCCCAAGTCTCAGACAAGCCTGTTGGAGGGGTTAGGGCTTGGAGAAGAGGGGAGACCTGAAGTTTTATGAAGCCAAGGTCAGACTACTGACAGTTGCCTGGTTTGGTTGCTTGAAGTGGCAGAGGCTTGGTCTGGCAGGGCCCCAGAGCACCTGGAGAGTGGTACCTCGGGCACAGGGAGGTTATTCAGGTAGCAGCTGCCCTGAAGTGCTGATGTGGGCTGTGGAGACAGGGTGTGCTAGTCAGGGTCTCAGCTGAGAGAGATGGCCCACACAAACTAGGGTAATTTGAGAATTACCCTAGTTTATTAGTGGCAGGGCTGTTCAGACAGGTGTGGACAGTACCGGGGGTCTCATGAAGGGGAGAGAGTGGAAGGGAACCCAGACCAGGAGCTGAGAGCTGTGATGGAGGGATGCTCAACCCAGCAGAACTCCTCGTTCTCCCCCCTCTGTCTTATCTGCTGGTGCTCCCTGTTGGCTTCACCCAGTCAGAAACCAGAGGTGTGGGAGACCATGGCTCTGGCCCCTGCAGGTCAGCCTTCTGAGGACACAGCAGGTGCTCTGTGGAGGAGACCCCACACCGCCAGCTGAAGTCCTTATTGAGTCATTTGGACCTCACAGCTGCTGCCCTACAATGGGAGCCCAGTGATGGAGAAGGTGCCTGGGCTAGGGGAGGGTCAGGAATGAGAGCAGCTGCTGATGTGGAGCCCAAGGCCACAACAGATTCACTTGAGAGACTTAGGTTTTATCAAGAGGCAAAGGGTGATCATGGTCTCTTAAGAGTTCAGGGCACAGTGTCTTTATCCATCACCTCTGGAGGCAGCCAGGTTGGAGAAATACACTGATTCTTAAAGCAGTGATTTGAATAGCATTGCCCTAAGAGCTTATTAAAGTCGTGCATATTCATTATTGAACACTTAGAAATAAAACTGTAAAGAAGAAAATAAGACAATACCCTTAACGTAACACCCAGAGGTAACCACAGTCCAGACTTATATATTTAACCATCTGATCTTTAGCCACAGTTCTTTTAAAATCCATCAAAATACTCTCGCTCAGGCAGTAATGAGGCTGACTCCTTAAACAAACATTCTCAAGCAGATATAGCCAAATGAGTATGGTTGCTGGTCACACGCTCTGCAAACATTCCTCAGCCGCCTGCTACATACCATGCTGCCACACTTCCCATGCACAGTGGGAGATACTGGGTGGAGGTGTGAGCAGAGCGGAAGTGCCTGGGAGGGCCCAGGGAGCAGCAGGGGAGAGAATGGTGTGGGAGGCTCACAGCCATTGGGTAGGGAATCCCACTGGGATGGGAGGCTGTGTGCTCATCTAGTTGGGCAAACAGAAGAGGAAGTACCTGGAGTACTGGGTGTTATGAGAGGCGACCAGCACATTTCTCAGGGATTCTGAGGAGCTTGGAGCTTTATCTGATTTGAACTTTCTAAATAAAATTTTCTTTAACAAAGACTTCTGGTGCTTCTTAAAAGCTTTGGGAAAATAGTAGAATTCTTGAATAAGTTATTTTAGTTCTGGAGTTACAACAAAAGTTTATAAGCAGTGTAAGAAAGCAACTTCATCTCAGCACTGAAGGGAGGAAGGGAGGGAGGGAAGGAGGGTCAAAGAAACAGGCAGCTTCATTACTTTATAGGCACATGGAGGGGGAGGCTTTCCTTTTCAGTGTGAAATTGTATCATCATATTGACTGCCAGCTTTTCACCAGATGTTGTTACAGATGATTTCAGTTTTTCCAGATATCAAATCTAGGGTCAGAGGAGGAAGTTTTTGCCTTCATTGAACATTTTCAAAAGAATATCAGGTCAGATGTGATGGGACACACCTGTAATCCCAGCAACTTGAAGGCTGAGGCAGGAGGATCACAAGTTTGAGTTCAGTCTGAGCAATGTAGTAGACCCTGTGTTAAAATAAAAATTTAAAAAGAGGCTGGGGCTGTAGTTCAGTAGTAGGGTGCTTGTCTAGAATGCATAGGGCTCTGGGTTCCATCCCCAGTACCACACACACAGAGAAAGAAATAATGTCAGAGTCTAAAGGCACTTGCAAAAGTATTTTGCTTTGAAATATGTTTTTGAGCAATGGTAACATCACTGTAGAAACATGTGGTCTTTCAGAGCCATTGCCTTGGAAGAAGCAACAGTTATCTGATGATGTGACTTTGATGAGCTCAGAAAAAAAAATCCAGCACATTAGAGAAGGGTCCTATTATAACTAGGGATTCTCTTGATCTTTTACCTCACCTATATCTGGCCAGAAATTCTGCAATGACATAGTGATTCTCTCCTACACAAGGTTATCAACCTGGTGGATCAGACAGAAAATGCACCAACCACTGTGTCTCAGGATGTGGAAGAGAAGTTGGCTCATGCCCCTGCCAAGCCTGAGGCTCCTGTGGACTCCATGCTCAAGGACATGGCTACCATCATCCTAAGCACCTTCCTGCTGGTTGGCTGGGTAGCCTTCATCATCACCTACCCCCTGGTAAAGCTCAGCCTTCCCCCCAACCCCCACCCCACTGCCCAGTCCATTCCTGCAGTTCTCCACCTATCATCTTTATCAGACAAAAATGGCCAATGCATTTCTTTTCACATTTCAAAGTCAATATTTTAACCAGATGTGGTGGTATACATCTGTAATCCCAGCTATTCATCATCAGTTCAAGACCCAACCTAGGCAACTTAGTGAGACCCTGACTCAAAATAAAAAGGGGACTGGGGGTGTAGCTCAGTGGCAGAGCACTGCTGGGTTCAACCCCCAGTATCACAAAAGAAAAAAAGAAAGAAAAGAAAGAAAGTCAATATTTGCTTATCTTAAAAAATTTTTTGTAGTTAGAGATGCTAGTGTTCTAGATAAGGACAATTTTGTACCTAAATCTTAATGTTTTTAAAAAACAGATTGTAAGAGCTGATTTATAAACCTGCCCTCAGATCATTTTGAGTAGTTAATTATGCCTTCTTTTTTAAGAACAGGGATAATAAACAAAACCCTTTCTTTCCTTGAAAATTGCCTGTTAGGTCAGTGAGAGCAAAAAAGGTGGCGTGGTGATTCCTTTGACTTCTCAGTTGGAAATAATTGAGCAAAAATTCTGCCACTGAGTGGGCAGCGGGTGGGATGAGACCTTGATCCCTCCAGCAAGTCCATGGAGCATCAAGTGTTGCCTCCCCAGAGCAGCAGTACTCAGGCAGCTCTCGGGGGCCCGGGACAGCAAACCCTGCACACACTTTGCTTTCTGTGGACAGTCTATTCACCTGATAGTTTTTGAGGTCAATAGGCTCTGGGAACCTAAGCCTTCTCCCAGGGTGCTTAGCTAGTAAATGGTGTTTCCAGGACTTCAACCCCAGGTTAAGAGAAAGGGAGCTAGAAAACTCACCTGTGGGTTGTGGCTGCACCCCGGCTCCTGTAGTCATCCTCCTGTGCCGAGTAAGAGTGATCACAGATTACTGCCTCTTCTAATGATGCTAGAGTGGACCTCTCAGGGTGCTGGAGAGGAGTGAGGGTTCAGGGAGGCAGCATGATAGATGAAGCCCCATGCTGCCTTGCCACAGCCATGTGGCTGGGGCGGGTGGCAGTGAGGTTCCAAGCCCCAGCTTCCTAGCTGCCTTCTGTGGGCCACCCAGGCGCTGACCTCCATCAAGCACACAGCTGTGGGGAACTGGCCTCGCCCCACGCACCATATTGCCTCCCACCTCAGAACATCCTCCCCATTCAGTGTCACCTTTGCAACAACTCCCAGACTTCCATAAAACTCCTGAATTCTAGGATTAAGTAGAAGCCCCTTCCTCTGGGCCAATCCTTCACCCAGGGTAGAACTTCCTCTCTCGCTTCTGCCTGGCAGCCATTCAACCTCCACTGGCCCCTCCAAGGTTGGGGCATGGCCATACTGGGAAGGGTCGCACTGGCAGAACGACCTCCAGTCATTGGACAGATTGTGCCTCTCTGTGGCTTCTCTCTGGTCCCATGCCTAGGGTCACATAAAGTACACCTGGTCCCCTGCCTTGAGGAGCCACTTCTTCCCTGTGGAATACCACAACACCTACCTGGATGTGTTTGTTTGCAGAGCATGCATCAGCAGCAGCAGCTCCAGAACCAGCAGTTCCAAAAGGAACTGGAGAAAATCCAGCTCTTGCAGCAACAGCAGCTGCCCTTCCATCCTCCTGGAGAATTGACCCAGGACGTCGAGCTCCTGGACACATCAGGCCCCTACTCAGAGAGCTCAGGCACCAGCAGCCCCAGCCCTTCCCCCAGGGCTTCCAACCACTCTCTGCACTCTGGCAGCTCTGTCTCCAAGGCTGGTGCCGGCCCCTTCCTGGAGCAGGACGAAGAAGGTAAAGCCAGTTGCCATTTTGGTGCTGCTTTATCTTTCTGTTGAATTCTACCTGAGACTGTAGAGCACACCTCATCCTTCTGCAGAGTCTGCTTACCTTATCTCCATGACATGATATAGGGCCATTTCTAGAAGGTTCACAATAATGCAAAGAAACAATACAGGGGAGGAGACAGTAGCCCTGGGCATAAATGGGCAGTGAGCCCTGCTGGCCCTTGTGTGGAGACTCTTAAATCCCAACTCTTAATTAGAGGTCAGGAAGCTGGCAGTCATTTTAGCTTTGAAATTCTTTAGGTGGAACTGTTTAAAACAATCTCTTCTTTTTCTCCTTTTATGCCAGATGAGGAAACCAGCATGGTGATAGTTGGGAAAATTTCTTTCTGTCCCAAGGATGTCCTGGGCCATGGAGCTGAGGGCACAATTGTGTACCGGTGAGTAGAGTGGCCGGTCCTGTGCCCTTCCTACCAAGTGTGTGAGTGCCTGTCAATTGCAGGCTGAGAGTCAGGCTCCAAGGGCACCACAGGATCAAAGTGGTGACCATGGCAGGTGAGACCCACATCCATGAAGCTTGTGTACTAAAAGAGAAGTGATGTCCATGGGGCTGCTAGTGGTCAGACTGTGAGTCTGATAAGGTGACCTCTATGTCACAGGAGGACACTGTGGGTCCATAAGTCTCATCTGGTGTCCATAGCCTGCTTGCACCAGTCAAACACAACTGCTGCTCCTTGTCCTACAGGGGCATGTTTGACAACCGTGATGTGGCCGTGAAGAGGATCCTCCCCGAGTGTTTTAGCTTTGCAGACCGTGAGGTCCAGTTGCTGCGAGAATCAGATGAGCACCCGAATGTCATCCGTTATTTCTGCACGGAGAGGGACCGACAGTTCCAATATATTGCCATTGAGTTGTGTGCAGCCACCCTGCAGGAGGTGGGTATGACTGGCCTTTAGGTGCAAAGGGCCACTGACAGCTTTGCCATGGCCCCTGTGGACAGCCTCCCTTCCCCTGTCAACTGGGATGTTGTTTTAGGGATTGCCAATTTGTTATTGTGTTTTATGAACCTGATTGAAATTGCAGTATAGGAGACTATCATGCTAAGTGAAATAAGTTAGTCCCAAAAAACCAAAGACTAGATGTTCTCTCTAATACGCAGATGCTAACTCACATTAAGGGGGAAGGTTGGGGGAAGAATAGAGGTTCTTTGGATTAGACACAGGGAAATTAAAGGAAGGAAGAGGGAGGGAATAGGAAATACAGTAGAATGAATCAGACATAACTTTCAAGTGTTCTTATATGAATACACAACCATATACTCCCCATTGTGTACAACAAAACTGGGAAGTTCCACTCCACACATGTACGGTATGTTAAAATGCATTCTACGGTCATGTATAACTAAAGAGAACAAATAAAAAAATTACAGTACAATGAAATGTACTCCTTTTAAATGTATAGTTTAATGCATTTTGACAAATGTATATATATCCGTTTAACCACAAACACCAAATGTAGAATATTTTTGTCACTCCAGTTGTATGTGTTTATTTGTTTGTTCATTTATTGGTACTGGGGATTGAACTCAGGGATGCTTTACCTCTAAGCTACATCCCTCACACTCTTTTTTTTTAATATTTATTTTTTTAATTGTACACAATACCTTTATTTTATTTATTCATTTTTATGTGGTGCTGAGGATCGAACCCAGGACCTCGCACGTGCTAGGCGACTGCTCTACTGCTGAGCCACAGTCCCAGCCCCGTCCCTCACACTCTTTATTTTTTGTTTTGAGATAGGATCTTGCTAAGTTGCTTAGAGCCTCACTGAATTGGGGAGGCTTCCCTCAAACTTGGATCCTCTTGCCAGTTTTAACTTGAGAGGCTAAGGCAAGAGGATCCATGTTTAAGGTGCACCACACCCAGCTCACCCCAGTTTTAATGGGGTGGTCTTCTGAACATGCCTGGACAGTCTTGGTTTGCAGTTGGCATGTGTCTCCCCTTTTGCCTTCAAGGAACCTGTTCAGTTATTATTCCTATCTCTGGACATGGCTGGTGTGTGCTTGGAGGTTGCTTGTTGATGAGTGAAGACTGTATAGTTATCCAGCAGACTTATTTCACTCTGTTCCCAGGCTTACCTTAAAACATTTCAGTATCATTTGGATTCCTCTGCAGGCTTACCTATATGAGGCAGTGAACTTGAATGTCTTGCCTTCTTCTTCTTTTTTTTTTTTTTAATAACTTTTTTCTTTAAGACATAAATCTTTATTTTTATTTATTTATTTTTATGCGGCGCTGAGGATCTAACCCAGGGCCTCATGCATGCGAGGCAAGCACTCCACCCCTGAGCCACAACCCCAGCCCCCGCCTTCTTATCTTTCTTATTGTAAATTAGTACATTGGAGCTTTATTTATTTGTTTAAGTCAGTCTGTAACTAGGAGATCTGTTGGGAAATATGGATTTCAATAGAGAATGTTGGTAATAATGGAATCAGGAATGAGCTCAGGATCTAAGAAGTCCTGAGGGCTGCACTATGACCTTGCCATTGTGTCTTTTACAGTATGTAGAGCAGAAGGACTTTGCCCACCTTGGCCTAGAGCCCATCACCTTGCTGCAGCAGACCACCTCAGGCCTGGCACACCTCCACTCCCTCAACATTGGTAAGAGGCTCCCCAGGGGCCAGGTGGGGGTGTCTGCCTGGTTAGCTGTTTACTACATCACAGTTGTACAAGGGTGAAGAGGGAGCCTAGGTGGTTCCTTGACAAGTTGGATTAGAATATAAGAGGGAACCTTACGTAGTTTAAAACCTTTGGAGAGGATAGTGGGTATATTGGGGTTTGACAGGAACCCATTTCCCCCTTATGGGAGGCTGGGGTTGCTCATGGTAAGCACTGGATGAATCTGGAATTCTCTCTTAGTTCACAGAGATCTGAAGCCCCACAACATTCTCCTCTCCATGCCCAATGCACACGGCAGGATCAAGGCCATGATCTCTGACTTTGGCCTCTGTAAGAAGCTGGCGGTGGGCAGGCACAGCTTCAGTCGCCGTTCCGGGGTGCCTGGCACCGAAGGCTGGATTGCCCCAGAGATGCTGAGTGAAGACTGCAAGGAGAACCCTGTGAGTGATGGACATGGCCTCTGAAGACCACAGACCCAGTCATTGTGCCTCCATAGTCAGAACCGTCAAATTCAAGTTTTGGGGGCTGAGGCACATGTTCCTGGACAAGGTCATTGCTTTAACAGAAAGCTCCTATGCAAACATTTCCATATTATCTCATACTCAGATACATGAGGAGGCAAATATGGGCAGTTGTCTATTTTTTTATCCTATTTTTTTTTAATATTTATTTTTTAGTTGTAGTTGAACACAGTATCTTTATTCTATTTATTTATTTATATGTGGTGCTGAGGATCAAACCCATAGCCTTGCACGCACTAGGCAAGTGCTCTACCGCTGAGCCCCAGCCCCAGCCCACTGGCCTATTCTTCTAATCACTTTTAAATCACATTTTTTATTTGGGGGAACTGGGGAATCAGGGCGTATGTGGGATAAGCAAACCTCCAGTTTTCATTATTTTTTATATTTGTTTTTGTTTTCCCCACTTTTTAATTTGAAGAGTTTTAGACATGCAGAAAATTTGAATGTTATTGTGACCTATGTTTTTCTACCTGTCGATGATTTGCTATATTTGCTTTGTCTTTCTCTTGCTGAATTATTGGCATATAAGTAGCAGCATTCCAAGCCTGTATACCTCTATATACAGCAACAGTGTCTCTTAGGAACAAGTACCTTCTACTTGGTCACCACCATGTCATTATCACACCTGAACATTCAATAGTTCACATTTCCAGTTAGTCCCCAAAGTCTTCTCTAGGGCTGGATTCTGTTTACCAGGACCCCATCGATTCTTCTGCATCGCATTTGATTTTATCTTCCTAAATTCCAGCGGTCTCCCACCTATTTTATTTCTTGTTGATGACATTTAGAGAGGATAGGAATACCTTGTTCGGGGTTTGTTTGCCTATTTCTTTATGACAGTGTTTAATATTTCTCTCTATTCTTTATATTTCCTGTGAACTAGATGTTAGGTCTGGAGGCCTGATTAGATTCCAGTGAAATGTTTTGGGCAAAAACAAATCACAAATCACTACATCAGGAAGTATATGATAGCAAATTGTACCCTTGTTATTGTACCCCTATTAGTAATGCCCACTTGAGTCACCTGTGTCTGCTGATCTCTCTTCTGTAAAGGTTCATTTCTCCTTTTGTTGTTAGCAAGTCATGTGCAGGGTGACCCTCTGGCACAGTGGGTGTTGAAGTCCTTCACCCGGTGGCTTTCATCTATTGACCATGCTTCCTGAAGCACTCATTGCAAAGAAATTCTTCATTTATTATCTGGTATTTAGCTCCAATTTTAACTCCTTTTCTATTTCTTTCTTAATTACTGTGGACTCAAGATTCAAGTAATAGTCAATGGTAGTCATTCTTTTTTTTTTTTTTTTTTTGTCCTTACTCCTTTTGATACTTAAAATGTCCCAAATTTGGCCAACAAGATCCCGTTAAGCTGGCTTTGGCATCCATTTGCTAAGAGTGGGCTCATATTTGGACATCTTTCTTTGTAGCACAAGTCATCAAAGGCTCGTCTTGTCCCTTCCCTGATCCAGAACTGGGTGGGATGAGCCATCTCAAACAGAACAAACAGGGTAGAATCCCTCTTATCCAGTTCCCTGGGGACAGCAGCCTGTCAATTATCACAAGTCAGAAACAATGATGAATTATTAAGAAAATACACACATATCTTAAATACATTTTTTTTCCCCAGTACTGGTGATTGAACCCAGGGGCACTGTACCACTGAGCTATGTCCCTGGCCCTTTTTTCTTTCATTTTGAGACATTTTCTTTTTAAGTAGTGGAATCTGGTCTCTAAGTTGTAATCCTCTGGCCTCAGCCACCCAAGTTGCTGGTTATAGGTGTGTACCACCACACCCAGCTTTTAAACACATTTTCACTTAAAGCAAGTTATGTAGTTCTTTAAATAATAGGAAATTTCTGCCATAGGTCAAGGTTTTGTTTTATTTTTTTCAAATTTGGGTCTGACTGATTGAAGTTGTTCATTTCTCTCGAATACTCATATGCCACTTATGATGAGGCTCAGACATTTTAAACATGTCCTAAGGGGCTTGAGAGCCGAATCCTTTGTGTCCCAGTCCAGTACTGTTGGTTCAGAGCAGTTTGGTAGCCACTCCCTTTTATTGAGTCTTCCCAAAGATTCAGCGGACCTCTCACTTTGTGGAACTCATATTTTATCAGCTTAGGGAATATTTAAATGACAAGTACAAATGGCAGTAGTACATTTGGGGATGAACTGAACTGGGACCCAGGAAGTCTGGAAAGGCACATGGCTGGAGTCCCTACTGCTGGACTCCACCTCTTATATTTTCCACAGAACAATTTGGGAGAAAAGCCAGGCACTCTTCATGACCTTCCATGCTGGAGAAAACAGGCCCTTAACAATGTAGCAGTTCGTTCAGCCTCTCCACAGGCCAAAACAGAATGAAACCTCCCTGCCCTCAGTGTGGCCTTTGCTGGGGATGAGAGGCATCATGAGCTGCAGAAGGCATGGGGGGTGGCACGGCACCGTGGGAAGGTGCAGGGGCAGGAAAAAGATCCAACAATGGTGGCTGTGTTCCAGGTGTAAAATTAGAAGACCTGTCCTGGCGGGTCACTGTCTAGGAGGGACCCTGAGCTTGTCCTCAAACCTTTCTGTCTATGTCCTCATCTGGGAATGCTCACCCTACAAGGCTGTGGTGAGGCTGAACGAATGTGCTACGTTGTTAAGGGCCTGTTTTCTCCAGCATGGAAGGCAGTGAAGAGTCCCTGGATTTTCTCGCAAGCTGTTCTGTGGAAAACATAAGAGGTGGAGCCCAGCAGTGTGGACTCCAGCCATGTTCAGGGACCCCCTTATGGTCGACCTTAAGGAGCATGAGCTACAAATCACACACTGAGTCTCTTTAAAGAGAGGCTCACCTGGACACTGAGCGGTTTCATAGGATAAGTGAGAGGTGATATTAGAAAATGTCAAAAACGACCTCACTGGAAACCTGTCAGGTGGTTTCTTTCTGGTGCCAATTTTGAACCCCAAACAGATTCCTTTACTAACAAAGGCTAGATACCTATTATGTGCTGGCACCTTCTAGGCACCAGGGCATAGCAGGAAGTGAACACGGAGGTCCCCACCGATGAGGACTCTGCTGTTGGGTAAAGAACATCTAATTGCTAGGGGAGCCACCTTCGGGCAAACACTATTGTTTTTTAAGTCGCCGTTTTCCATATTAATGCATTTAGTGGTCTTCACAACACCCCTTGAGAACAAACCATCACTGTCCTCATCTTACACATGAGGAAGCTGAGGCACAGTGATCAAGGCTGAGAGGCAGAGCCTGCATTCCAGGCAGTTGGCTCCCAAGTCCACTTCTTCCACTGTGACCATGACACCAAGACTGCTCTGGGCAATTAAGATCTATCGGCTGATTCTCCCAAGACACCTTCCAGGGGGCTAAAGTGGCAGCAGTACTCTTCCTCCCTAGCTGTGAGTGAGGCAAGAACTCTGTCTGAGACCTCTCATGCCCTGTGTTTCTTTTCAGACCTATACAGTGGACATCTTCTCTGCAGGCTGCGTCTTTTATTACGTCATCTCTGAGGGCAGCCACCCCTTTGGCAAATCCCTGCAGCGGCAGGCCAACATCCTCCTGGGTGCCTACAGCCTTGAGTGCTTCCACCCAGAGAAGCATGGTGAGTGGGTGGGGACTGGTCTGGCGTTGCCTCTACACTCCTGCTGCTCCCCCTGGGCTTCAAGGTGTACCAGGGCTGGGGGAGGGATGGCTAGAGTTATCCTTGGATCACCAAGGAGTTCTGAGGTTCCTGCAGAACCTGTGCCCTGGGCAAGGCCCCTCTGGAGACCTGTTTTTTTCCAGCTTGTGATATAAGGCTTGAATAATCTAAGGTTTCTTCCTGTACTGGCATTTGAGAGGACAAATTGTCTGTGGTTCATAAATGACTGTGCTGGGATGGGTAGGCTCTGTCCTCACTCTCCTGGCTCAGGCACAACAAGTCTTTCTTCCTGACTTTGGAGTATACTGGGTTCTAATGGCCCATGATAGCCTAATGCTGTCTCTTGAAAAAAACTAAAACTAAATTATTGTTTTGCTTAGGGGTTAATTTTTCTTATTCATTATAAGAAAAGATTATCATAAAGGCCAATATTTCCATTATATAGTATTTGATGACTGCTCTTAACTTTTTGGTATATAGTACCAATCACTTATCTAGAAATATGTGCACACTTTTATAAAATGGGCTTAAGTTACTACTTCCCAACAGGCTCATTTTTCAACTTCACCTTGAATGTCTCTCCATGTCAATCCACATCTAGCCACACCATCATTTTAATAGCTCATCATCCAGTACCTGGAGACACAGAGTGTCTCCCAAGTCCCCAGTATTAGGTATTTTCAATCACTCCTCTCACAAAACACACAGAGGACTCCCCTTTATTAGCTGAAGTTTGGTGTGAGTTTTTAATTATCTTATTGGAGTTAATTCCTTTAAGTGGAATCCTGCATTCAAAGGTATGCAGATTTTAAAGGTTTTTGGTATTTCGTTGTGACTTTGGGTGTAATAATGGGTCGCCTATTTTCCTCCTTTGCAGAAGACGTCATTGCACGTGAGCTGATAGAGAAAATGATCGCCATGGATCCCCAGCAGCGGCCCTCAGCGAAGCATGTTCTGAAACACCCTTTCTTCTGGAGCCTGGAAAAGCAGCTGCAGTTCTTTCAGGTACATGTGTCTGTTTCTCCACCCCAAGCTTTCATTCATGTCTTCCTGATTTTGAAAATGGAGAAAAGGACAAAGACTAAAACAAAAGACCCAGAATCGTATAACCAAAATAGAACCATGGCAGCAGGTTAATGTATTTATTTCATACTGGTAAAAGTTTAATTGGGGTTACACCATACATATAGTTAGGAATTATTATTATTATTATTATTATTATTATTATTCTACTGTACTTAGTGTTTTAAGTATTTTTCATGTTGGAGTTCTAAAATTTTAATGACTATTTTATCATATGGATGTGCCGTAATTTTTAAACTCTATATTATGGAATTTGCTAATACACAAAAAAAAGTAGATCAAGTACTACAAAGAACTTTCCTTTACCAATTCCCCAGCTTCAACAAGTACTAACTTTCACCCTCTTCCCACTCCTGATTATTTTGGAGCAAATCTCAGGCATTATATAAATTCATTCAAGTGTCATAAATTTGAACATTTCCCTATATTGGATTTTTATTCTGTCATCTTTTACCCAATCTCTGCTTAGCTCTCATTTTGCTTAGGACAGATTCTGTGACATTAAATTATAGAATCAATGACTGTGAATGCTTTTGGTGGTTGGATAGTCTTTGTGACTGTGTGACATCTCCAGATGGCTTTGTGGAGGTTGTGCTTCCATTCTCATGTGGTGTGCCCTGAGCATAACTCACCCAGATGCCTCCCACCGACACAGCATGGCTCTGAAGAGCAGCCTCATTGGATAGAGCGGCTCCTCCTGGGTCTTGGCAGAGCTGAGCTTTGCAAGCACCATAATTCAGAAGTGACCATCACACTATCTTAGAGTCCCACTGGGGCCTTGGCTATAGTGAAGCCCCCAGAACATAAGCTTCTTGTGGTCAGGAGTGATTGCTTCATTCTCTGCTCTGTCCCCAACTCCTAGGGAGGACACTGCCTGGCCCACAGCAGGTGCTAGTAACCATTTGTTTGGATTGGGAGGGGCAGGCCCAGTGCCATCTTCCAGGGCAGCAGTGTGTAGCATTAGGGTTGATCACTGTTCCAAATTCTCAAGTCTAGGCCACTTCGATGGCAAAATATAGAATAAGGCTAAAACTTGGGGGCTGGGGTTGTAGCTCAGGGATAGAGCATTTGCTTAGCATATGGGACAATGGGTTTGATCTTCAGTACCACATAAAAATGAATTAATTAAATAAAGGTATTGTGTCCATTTACTAGTAAAAAAACATTTTTTTTTTTTTATTTTGCACAAAGGGACCTCCGCGTCACCATGGCTTAGGATTAGCATCTCTAAGTCATGTCTTGCAAACACAGTTGGCTTCTATCCATGTCAGCTCAGAAACACATCCCAACTGTGCCCCGTATGGCAATCTAACATTTCCAAGGCTTTTCTCTAGGATTACAGATCAGGTGTTCAGCCATTCTGGCTTCATCTTTGTCAAGAAAAAACTACAGCTTATCTAAGGCTGCTCGGTGTTAACATATCTGGCTCATAGCTCCTCGTTCCCTCCAGTAGTGACCTGCTTACAGGTGGGGATGCGAGAGGCTGGTACTCAGGGTGCCTCCTGACCCTCTTTCTCCTTACCAGAACCAAACACAGCACAGGGCTTGAATCTAAAGAGGCCTCCTGATCCCATGTTCTCACCACCAAGTTTTTCCCTCAAAAAGAAGGCTTGGTTTCTTGTCTTTTCCAATGTTCAAATAAGGAGTGACAACACTCCTAGTTAGGATTTGAGCATGTTTCAATGGATAGATAAAGCATGGTTTGCAAATGGATTACAGAGGTTTTTTTTTTTGTTTTTTTTTTTCGTTTTTTGTTTTGGCAAATATAGATTACACATGGCTCTGTGTAAACATGGTTGTGTGTGTTTGAGAGAGAGAGAGATTCCAGAGGTGTGTTCATGGTCAGTTGTGGAGATGATCTCTGTGGGCCTGTCCTAGTGAGAAACACACATAGTTGCTCAGCAGGGAAGAGTCGGCGAACCAGTGAGGCAGGGTGCAGGGTACTTTCTGGGAGCAGCCTGGGCCCAAAGAGGAATGACAGGCTCTTTAAGACCTACATAGCAGTGGCCATTCTGTGGGCCAGCGTGTGCATCCTGTAGCGCTCACCATCTCTAACACTGACCAGCATCTGTTGCCTTGTTTCCTTGGCAGGACGTGAGTGACCGAATAGAAAAGGAGTCCCTGGATGGCCCGATAGTGCGACAGTTAGAAAGAGGCGGGAGAGCCGTGGTGAAGATGGACTGGCGGGAGAACATCACTGTCCCCCTCCAGACAGGTGATCATTTCTAAGAAGTTAGCAGGGACATGGCAGCTGCAGGTTGTCCAAGCTCCAGATCCCACCCTCGGGTTTGAGACTCTGTGGGGTTTGGGTGTGGTCATACTGATGTGTTTGATGTTTGATCTTAGAGTGACAGGTTAATGATAGTGACTGGGGGTCATTTCTGATCTGGTTGCAACCTTGAGGTGACTTCATGCTAATGCAACCCTCAGATATGAGGTGGGGCATCTCCTCCTATGACTATAAATAAAGTGATGTCACATTTCAGTCCAGTTGCTTAATCCCCAGGACTCTAAGAATTGTTTTCTTTTAAAAATTTGTTAATTTCTTAGCCATTTCATTCCTTAATGTTTTTCTAGATCTGCGTAAATTCAGAACCTACAAAGGTGGCTCCGTCAGAGATCTCCTTCGAGCCATGAGAAATAAGGTGAAGGGCTTGTGGGTGCTGGGAGGGGAGGTGGCCACACAAGGCACCTACCTCTTTTGATCTGTCCCTACAAGTCCTTTCCTCATGCTGGTTTCCGGCTCTCAGAGGCTGGACTTGACAAGTTAGAGGCTATTTCTTCCCTCATACGGGTCTTTTTTCTCCAGGGACGTTGAGGTACAGGGTTAAGCTCTGGGGAGCAGCCTCTCTGAGCTGTGTCCTTCATGGTCTCTCTGCTGACTCCCATACCCTCTGACTGACAGCCACCATACAAACACTATAACAGAGACACTCTGGGCACCTTCTCACACAGGGTCTGGTCTCCAGGGATTCAGGGAGGGGGTCTTTCTTGTCTTTAGGGGGCCTAGGGGTGGTTTTGGCCTGTGCTGTCACCAGGTAGCCTTCAAACAGGGCCCAACCCCAGGCACAGAAGTCTCCATGCCTTGTGGGATAGACACTTCAATTCTAGGTGACTTTATTCCACTTGCAGCTGCCAGGACCTTCTCTTGGTCCTGACCCTCATGGGAAGCCTGTGTACCTACTGCCCCTGCCGCTCCAGTGTGAGGCTCTACCTGTTGTCCCCAGGCTGGACCTCATTTGCTTTTTTTTTTTACTAATACTTTTTAGTTATAGATGGACACAATACCTCTATTTTATTTGTTTATTTTATTTTTATGTGGTGCTAAGGCTTGAACCCAGTGCCTCACACGTGCTAGGCAAATACTCTGCCACAGAGCCGCGACCCCAGCCCCCTCGCTTGCTTCGAGGCCTCTTTCTAAAGGAGGGGAGGGAGGCAGGACGATTGGGATGGACTGTGGGATGTGCCTTTCCTGTATAGAGAAGCAGCCAGCACTGTGTCTTCTAGCTGCTAACCCTCTGTGTCTGCCTCCCTCTGCAGAAACACCACTACCGGGAGCTCCCAGTGGAGGTGCGGGAGACTCTGGGCTCCCTTCCCGACGACTTTGTGCGCTACTTCACCTCCCGCTTCCCCCACCTCCTCTCACACACCTACCGGGCCATGGAGCTGTGCAGCCACGAGAGACTCTTCCAGCCCTACTACTTCCACGAGCCCCTGGAGCCCCAGCCCCCAGTGACTCCAGATGCCCTCTGACCAGGGCAGTCCCTCCATTCTGGTGACCCAGCTGTGACTGCAGACCTGGTCTCTGCAGTCCAGAGCTTGATGCCTCCCAGCTTAGCAGGGAGACCAGGCTTCCCAAACCAAGTGCCTTGAGCTGCCCACTCTGCAGCCAGCAGACGATAATGCTGACCCCAAGAAGTGGGAGAGGTGGTCCTCATGACCTATAGGAAACTAGGAGGATGCTGGCCCTGAAAGCTTTGTAGCCCAAGGATGTCTGCAAAGGAGGCTGTGAAAGGAGCACCGCTGACCCTCTGCTGGTTGGACTCACTTCAGCTTGTCTCTTTTTATAATTCCTACTTGATGTCAGCTGAGGGCCTTTCAGGAGGGGAGCAGAGGAATTCTGTGTGGCCTGCAGGCTGAGACCAGCTAGGCTGGGATGCAGGAAGTGCAGCCTCTGCTAGAGTGGGCTAGAGAGGTGAGGAGTGCTGAGGAGGAGGACGTTTGGAGATGTTCTCCTGGGGAAAAGGAACCTCATCACAGATGCAGCCAGAGGCTCCTTGGCTACTGGTAGCAGTGTTTCCCCAGGCAGCAAAGCCATGAGCATGGGGCGTAAAGTTAGGGCCATGCACGTGGGCAGCTGAGGTGTATCTAGTCTCTGGAAATGAAGAGGACACTCTGTTCTGGAGGCTGCAGTTGGCAGCGTACCAGGGCCTGAATGGAGGCCCTGAGGTGGATTGTGTCCTGGGCCATTTGGGGCCAGAGGGGAAGAGTTCCCTAGCCATCAAGGAGGGCAGCTAACACCAGACAGGGACAGGCCCTCAGGAGCAGAGGGGAGCCACTGAATGGGAGCCTCCTGGCTATGCATAGAAGACCCTGAGCCAGGTAGCCTTAGGGTCAGCAGATCAGGATGCACGTGGTGAGTGAGAGCCTGTAGCTGGGAGCCAAGCCCAGGGTCATGTGGGCTTTGTGGGCCAGCTTTCGTATTTCTCTTGGCAAATCTTAATCTATTTTGATCATACTGTAGAATGTTATATTAGCATAAGTAAGCGAAACTTAACTTGAGACTTGCTCATGAGGAAGAAATGCAAGATATCTTCTATTTTGTGTGGTACCAAAAATCATCATCCTCTTGAGAGTGTTCCCATGTAGACCATTTTCTCCAATGCTGAAGAGCAAAACATTCTAGTAACACTGTAAATGTACTAATGTCAAAGTAATGTTCCCTAAATTATGTCAGTACCTTTTTTCCCCTAAAATCAATCAATATTCATTTCTAACTTTAGTTTCAGTTAAAACTTCTGTCTTTTCCCTCCCGAGAGCTTAGAGGTTACGGTGCAGTCAGGGTCCGCGGCGGGGAGAATGTTCTGTGGGAACTTCCTGCAGCTCCTGGTCTGCTGAGTGTCCAGCCACTCCACGTCAGAGCAGCACTGTCAGCTTTACGCAGCCACAGGGTGCTGCTTCCCATGAGAGGTTTTCTGCTTCTGTTCACATTAGGTCGCTTACCCAAAGTTTATTCTGCCTTTCTATTCAGTTTCCTTGCTTTCTTAATGACTAAAGTGGCCTTTTTCTTAATGTAACCCTACATCTTTAACCTCATGGAGAACCCGCATATGACCTTAGAGCCTGGGCACTCTGGTTGGCTCCCTGGTGTCTCCTGTCACATAGTCAGGAACACAGCCGGCTCTGTCCCCTGTACCTGATCTGCCTTCACAGTGCTCTCTGTAGACTTGTACAGGTCACTTTGCTAGTGAGTCCAAGAGGTGACAGCCCGAAAAAGCATCAGGAGTGGAGCAGGTGCCACACATGATCTAACAGGACTCCCTGCTGCTGGGGCTGCCGCTCGCCTCCTTCTCCTGGCTGGTTTTCCCTTCGGGAAGTACCCAGACAGCTTCTTGTGGCCTGCTGTGGCATCATCTCCCTGTTTTAGCCCAACTTACTGAGAGACAGCTTTTTCAGATGCCTTTTCCACTCAACAGATAGATGATCTGCTAACCACCCAAATTCCTCAAACCCTTTACCCAGCACATTTTATTTTAGCACTTACTGTGTTGCACTGGGCAGGACACAGGTGCCAGAGAAAGAGATGAGCCAGATAGGCACAGCCCGCCTTCCCAGAGCTGCTTGTGAGAGTCACCCACAAAGACATCAGTGCTACGAAGAAACCCCAGCAGTGGGGAAGGATGTGCGTTTGGGGTTTGCACCTCTGCCTTAAAATTGCCCCCATCTCAGAGTCCATGGGCTCTGGCCAGGTCACCATCCCTCTGTTCTCTCTTCTCATCTCTAGGGACTCAGGCACTTGTTTTGAAAACACCTGGGCATCATCTGGTGAATCCAATTTGAGTCTAGAATTCCAGTTTCCCATTTTGCTCAGCAAGGAGGAGGTTGTCTGAGGCAGAACGGCTCCGCAGCACTGTACATCTTTAGTCCAAGTCATGAGGCCTCTGTGATTCCCAGAAGGCTGCTCAGCTTTTTAGAAGTCTGCTGTCTTCACCTTTAAGACAGAATTGAGTTGCATCTGTTAGGAATCAGAGGTCCCTGTATTTCGTTTAAATCTGTCTTGGACTGTGTGTGAAGCCTCTCTTGCCCATGAGCCACGTTTCTCTTGCTGCTTCTTAAGTCTTTTGTCTCCGTTTTTGAAGAGCACCACGTATCCATCATTAGGCACCAAAGCATTGGCACTCAGAGGAACGCCGTTATCACTCAGCAGGGCATCTGGTGGCTGAAGGTGAAATCCACGTGAAAGTGCCCTGCTCTCACTGCAGCGGCTGTCACAGGCTCTTCATGGAGACAGCACTGGACAGTTACAGACCCATATTGGGTTGGAGGTCTGCAGGGCAGGGGGTCCAGGGAAGTGCTTTCTTTCCACCAACCCTGGAGGATTGGTTCTTGTCAGGGTTGACCTGAGCCTGTGGAGGGGCGTTGTGTGAATGTGATTCATTATGGATGGCAGGTCTTTCTTGCCCCAGTAAAAGAGTAACTGGCTGTTGAGGTGAACTCCACGCAGAAGCAGCCCCTCGGGTTGCTGGGCCCTCCCCTCCTGGCTGCTTCTTTTCAGCAGCTGGGCTTTGGCCAGGTGTGGTTTTGCCCACTGTTCATCCTCCACCCGTTCATTAGATCCTTGTCTGTCTGCTCCTTGTTCATTTCCTTCAGTCAATCATTGGTTAGAAGGTGCTAGAAGAGCCAGCACAGTAGCCCTTCTCTTTGATTTCTGAAACCACTCTTCTCTTGCTCATCCCTCCACATCCGGGAGCAGTGGTGTCAGTTGGGTGTTCCTGGCAGAAGGTCCTGGGCCTCTGTGCAGGAAGCCCACATCACCCCAGTTCCCCCAGTCGGGCCATTATCTTGTCAGCCAAAGTATCTGTCTCTTCTTATTCTTTGTTTTCTTTATAAAATAGTGATTTCCTGTGAGTAACTCTGGTTCCAGTTTTATGTGTAGACATCTAAGTCCTTTCTGTATTCATTGGAAAGCCACAAAAGACACCTCTGTGGCTGGGGAGACGGCTCAGTGGTAGCACGCTTGCCTTGCATGCAAAATGGCCCTGAGTGTCATCCCCAGCCCACAAAAATAAACAAAGGACGCATCTGCCATGAGCCTCCCCCTGGAGCAGCCTTAACCAACACTGCCAGCCAAAGTTCCCACCTGGGCCTCTCCTGCTCTCCATGTTGGTGGGTACAGTATTCCTTCCCAGTGTCCCTAAAGCTGTGACGGGGGAGTCCCCACTCACCTAAGCATTACTGGTCAACTATGCGGCATTCTCACATGCAGACGTTGTGTAGTGTTCTTTTTGCAATGACCTATTTATTGAACCTATTTATATTTATTTAATTTTTACTCTGAAGTATATCCAGTCACGGTTGCACTTGCTTAGAGCACATCATCTGTTTGGACAGTGCCCCTGACCAATTCAAAACTGGAAAAGGAAGAGTCCTACTTATCCTTCCATGGACGGATGCCTTACAGTAGTCTTGTCTTTTAAGGGTGAATAATTTGGTCGGGGTAAGTTGTTAATTTTTAGATGATTTTTTTTTAAATCTGTGCCACCATGTCTTCTCTGTGGATGGTTTAATGTTTGGTTGGTATGTGTTAATTGTGTGGTACAATCCTTTTTGTGGAATCTTAAAAATTTTTTTAGCTTTATATTTTATAAAATGCCAGATTGTACAACTTTTAAGTGTATTTTTAAAGCTTGATGATCTGAGGGTCATTATCTGAGTTAACGGCCTATTTTCGTACCTCTTGTACAGTTTTATAATCTGCTGATTGATGATGGCATCTTACGTCAAGCCAACCACAAATAAAGGTAGTTTTAGATTTGGGAGTTGGTGTATTTTCTTAGGGACTTGAGCCCAGCTCACAGGCAGGGGCTCCTCCTGCTGTCTTCTGAGGGGCAGGCTCCATGAGGCCTGAGCAGCTGGCCCAACAGCAGGACCCAGGGCCTGGAGCACCCTTTGGGGGCAGTTTGTGGGAAAAGCTTACCTGAAATGTTGCTGAAGTCCCCAAAAGTAGTATTTGGGCTGCATTTTTAGGAATGTGGCCAGTGAGAAGTCGGCTCCAAAGCGGAGTCCATAGTTTGTACTGCCAGCAGGATTCTGGATCAGGAAACCTAGGCGGGAGAAGACCTATCCAGGTTACTTGGCCAGCCAAGCCCTTGGGGAGTCTTGGTGGGCTCACGGCACCAACACCCGAGATGTCCCCGCACTCACACCCAGAATCCTCCAGCGTGCTCTCCTCCCACAGCCCCATCCTGTCTGGAGAAGTCAGGTGAGGCTCCCTGTGTTCCCCTACCAGGACAGGGGCCACTCACAAAGGGACAGTGAGGCAGGGCCTGCATGGACGCTGGCCCCCTCCTCATATCATGCTGGAGGGACCCTGGGTGTCACATCTCATGACTAAAACACTCAGGGTCACTCCAGGTGAACTGGGCTCCCCGAAATAACCACACAGAGACCTCTGACCTTAGGGGTCCATGGAAAGAGAGGAGCACGTGCTGAACCCTTTTATTGGGAAAAAGCCATTCAAATGAGGTATGGGGTCAGGTTTCAGGGGGTTGAGTCTGGCTTCTTGGTGTCTGCTGTCAGCAGATTGACTGACATCTGGGGAGGCCATGCCCATCTCATGAGCTGTGTGGGAATCATGGCAGAGCAAGGCCCACCCAGACAGAGGGGCAACGTCGGTTCAGTCCACTTTGTGCACTCAGTGCTCATCGTTGACAGACACAGCCCATGGCTGGCTGGCCACATCTCCACATTGTCACCACTCAAGGCTAAGGGGTGCTCGGTTCTATGTGGCAGCTCCCGACATCTGGGAACAGCACTGAGACCGCAGACACACCTTCTCTCTGAAGCACTGGGTCTTAGACAGCCACATCCCAGGAGAAAGAGAGCTGCCCTTGGTTTCCCCTCGGGGCTGCTAAGCAGAGCTGAGACCCAGCCTGGAAATGGCCCGGCCCAGGAGGCAGGCAACTGGTAGCTCCCTTTGGCTGCCTCTGAGAACAGAGAGATGCAGGGGAGGCTAGAGTCTAAAAGACTCTTCTTTTCTGCCCCATGCTGTCACAGACAGGGTTGACTGGCCAAAGACAGCCTTGAGGTGAGGTCAAATGCTTTGTACAAGTCAGTTCCAGGCTTATAAGAAGTTGCTCATTTTCTGTACGTTGGCTAGATTTCATTTAATACATATAGCCAGACATACAAGGATCATACATGTCTATCTCCTGTCAGCCCATGTAGCCACTTGTACTGTCTTTTTATATGTGGCCCATCTGGGTCATTCTTGCCCATATGCACTATAGCTTCAAGAGATTGTCGCCAACCTGCCTGCCTTTCACTGTGGACCAGGCCCTGCTGGGGCATCCTGTGCCAACAAGGCCTCACTTGTTGGCCTTATTCTCTGTCCCTGAGCCCAGTATTTCCCTCATGATTGAAAACACTTAACAGCTTTCACTTAGTGAGTGACTGGCCAGATCAGATCCTTTGCCAAGGCCCAAACCCAGATCATGAGCCCATCTCTGGGACAGCTGCTGAGGGCAGAGTAACAGGGCTGGTGAGGACTTGGCAGCCACTGGGAGGCCACGCTGAAGGACCGTGGGGGTAGAGCAGGCAGGACAGCAGGACAGAGGGCTGGGCCTCTGAGAGAGTCTAGCAAACAATGACTCTGCCTTGTCCCTTCCCTTCCCTCTTGTCCCTTTGCCCTCTCTAATCCACTCAGGAAGCTGAGGCAGGAGGATCACAAATCCAGAACCAGCCTCAGCAACCTGGTGAGGCCCTAAGCAGCTTAGCAAGACCCTGTCTCAAAATATAAAACGGACTGGGGATGTGGCTCAGTGGTTGAGCACCCCTAGGTTCAATCTCCAGTACCAAAAAAAAAAAAAAAAAAAAAAAAGAGAGAGAGAAAGAAAGAAGAAGAAAACCTGGTAAGCAAACAAAAGCACAAAATTAGAATACAGGAAAAGTTCAAACAACAGAAGTAAATGGCATACATTCATCCATTAAAATGCATAAATTGGCCAGACGTGGTGACGCACACCTGTAATCCAGCTATTCCAGAGGGCAAAACAGGAGGATCATAATGTTCAGGGTCAAGCTGGTCAAGCAGCTTAGTGAGATCCTGTCTCAAAAATTTAAAAAAAAAAAAATTTAAAAAATAGAAAGGGCTGGGGATATAGCTCAGTGGTAGAGCACTGGTCTAGCATGAGGCCCTGCGTCCTATCTACCCCTAGTTTGTGGGAGAAAGTGCAGAAATTCCCAGGCTGGGTTTGCTTAATTTTATTTGTTTCTAATTTTATTTTTTTTTAAATTTCCATATGAGCATCATTTACATATGAGTCAAAATCCAAAACTATAAAAAGATAAATGCTTCCTTTTCCCCTTCCTGGTCCTTGTATGTCCAATTCTACCCCCCAGTAGAGACTCTCCCTTTGGATTCTTTGGTAACTTTATAGAAATGTTTAAGGCAAAAAAAAAAATTATACTTTCCCCTGCCAATGCCAGGCTGCCCCCAAACTGCCAGGTGTCCATCACAGGCTCTAATGGTTATATTTGCAGAAAGAATATGAAATTAGAACTGTTTAAAAAGCAAAAATACCTGGAGAGAGGGAGGGAAAGACTAAGGAGCATCTTGGCTTGATTGCCTTCCATGCAACACAGGAAAGGGCAGCTGGTGGCCACTGGGACACCCACACTTTCCAGAAAGCTGGCATCTCCTCCTCTAGAGACCCTCCATCAGCTCTTTGGCTATTGGATGTTTACGGATAAAGTTATACATCTACATAGATGATCTGCCTTAAAACTCAGGATCCCAGCTCTTTGCAAACCTATTTGTAATTGTGAAGGAATGTGATCTGTCACAGCCACACTCCCCGGGGAAATGTAGGTGTCATGCCTTTTGGACAGGGTGGCGGGGCACTTGCTCACTGTGGCCACAAGATGGCGCCTGTGGGCTGCCCCATTCCTTCAGGGCGCCAAGTGTTCAGCCTGGTTGGGACAGCCCATTGCCTCCCCACTCTAGAGTGAGGCTTGAATGATGTTGGGGTCCAGACTAAAGAAGAATCTAGGGGCTTGGTTTCATAAACTCAATTTCTTCATTAGCTGGTAGTTTTCTCAATTGATACATATTCACAATGTTTTCTCATTTAAGGATTAACACTACAGAATATGGACTATGGAAATGATCTTGGAGTCTGGCATTCTGTAGATCCATGCAGTAGTTCATACATGTACTGAGGTGTCCTTGAGCACAGCCAACAGGGACAGAGATAGATACATGTCCAGGCACAGCTGTAACAATAGACATAAACTTCATTGAGTATTTACTGTGTACCGAACTCTAAGACAATGTTTTACAAATTATCCTTGTAATTCCACTCTGCCTGGCTGACCCTGCAGCCTGTTATTTAGCCCCTCAGCCACTGAGCCTCAGCCCACCATGAAACACTAACCTTCCTGGCCCTGTTCAGCATTTGCTCCATACCTATTTCCACTTGTGATTGTGATTAAGGGGACATTATTGAAACCGAGAACACTTTCTCATTCTGTGAGCAGCATGCTCTCCAGATGAACTGATGGGGAATGTTAGCATCACCTGGAAACTTGTTAGAAATGCATGTCCTCAGGCCTCACCCCAGAGCCACTGAATCAGAAACTCAAGATGGCCCAATAGTCTGGGGTTTAGCAAACCCTCCAGAAAATGCTCATCTTTGAGACCCTTTGCTGCAAACTGTCTCATAAAACTAAGGCGTTTGCTTGAGTTCAATAAGCATTTACTTAGCATGATCTTGGCAACATGCAATGTACCAGAAATTCAGCAGAGAAGGAAAGGAAATTAATAGACATGGTATGCAATCTGCCCAGAAGCTACAAAATTGGAGAAGGAGGCGTATAGAGGAGGGTTGGCCAAATGATGCTTGAGGAAGAGTAGAAAGAGGCCTTAACCCTGGCTGACCACCAGAACACCAGAACCTTGTGTGCAGCTTCCAGAGTGGGCACACAGGTTACAACCTGTGGACTCATCCCCTGTAGTACAAGAAAGGGAGCCCTGCCTGATGAGAGGCAGTCCAGCTTCTGCACCCACGTGGAGTACCATAATGTTTGAATCCAAAAGGAGAAATCCCACCCCTACTCTGAAGAAGAACCTCCTTAGACTCCCTTCCTCTCTCTTGAGGCTGGATGACCATGAGTGACTTTGCAGTTCCCTTATGAAGGGCCCTCTTCTCTCTGCCCACAGCAGACCTCTGGTGACCCCATGCATGTGACCATGCCTCAGTGCCTTTCTGCTTTTCCACCCTGTGTGCTAGTTCTCAATGCTGTGCACATTTGAATTCCCTGGAGAGCTTTTAAAAATACACACACACACTCACACACTTCCACGTACATATACCCTCACAATAGGCAATGATCATAATTTGCAATAGTTGAGACATGGAGAAAAAAACTTACCAGAAATTCAAACTTAACTGGGTCCCCTGGATTTTAGGAAAGTTCGAAATAGTGTTGGTGACAGGGTCTAGACCCTAGGGACAGGGGACAGCTCTGTAAGAACCATTTCCTGAGCCCCCTTCTTCATGGTGCTCTTCTCCGGAGGCAGGCTTCAGTCCCTGCCATAGTTTGGATCTTGAATATCAAGCAAAGGCTTGGTCTCCAGTCCATGGTGCTATTGGGGGTGGTGAGACCTTGAAGAGGTGGGGCCTAGTGGGAGGTCTTTAGGTCATTGGAAAGTACCCTTAAAGGTGATAGTGACACTCCCTCCAGGACCTTCTTTCTTTCACACCCAGCCACAGCCAAGAGATAAGTGGTTTTGCTCTGCCTCGTCCTCCTGCCACAATGA